TAATAGCTAAAACGTGGTTATACAAAATAAAGAACTTCGCAATATTAAAAAAAATCATTACCATTTATAGCAATGATTTAAATAATATTTAGAAATAAAAATAAAATAATTAAATATTTCATCTAAATATTTCAAAATTTTGTGCAAAAATTACAAAAAATTTATCTAAATTAAATTTTTTTGAAGAAAAATTTTTAAAAAAGGGTAAAATTAATTAAATATTTAATAGAAAACTGATAAAGATTGATATAAATTAAAAATATTATTAATTAATTAATTAAATTATATTATAAAATTATTAATTTATTTTTATATAGATAATATTCAAACGTATCCATCAGCAAGCAATTCAAAAAAATAGTGATCTCAATTCACTAAATTTTTGAATGGCATTTATTTGGCTCTTATATAATTAAAAAATCTATTTTTAATATAACATCCAAAATTATAATAAATAAATGCGTTTTTAGTTCCTTGCTTTTAATCAATCTATAAATAGGTATGCATTATAATTAATATATTCACAAAAACCAAGCTACTTTTACAATAGTAAAAAGTCTATAAAGTATATTTAATATAAATAATAAATTATCTATAAATAAAATTTAATAGATAGATATTAAATTTTTTTTTTTAATTTGTTTATCCAATATCATTAAAACTTACTTCATAAATATTATCAAAAATAAATAAATAAAATTTATATCTAGCATTTTTAAATAGTTCAGCCATAATTAAGTTATTAAAAAATTTACTTAAATAATGTTGTTCCTTTTAATGAAAACTATTTTTTCAATTAAAATAGACACTTTAATAAAAAAATAAATTTGATTTTGCTTTTAATTTAATATTTTTGGTTTTAATTTTGTAGATTTTTGCATTTAGATTTAACAAAGTAAGCAAGCTTTAAATATACTATAATTAGACTTAACTAGAACTTATTAGCTTTTATCAAAAAATAGCTTTAATCAATACATAAATTGATATTATAAATTAGATTTTGTTCTAAAGAAATAAGCCATAATTTACTAGGATTATAGTAATATAATCTATCAATAATAAATAAATCAAATAAATCTAAGTAATAAAATTAATTTTTAATAAACATTTTTAAATAGGAAAACCATAAATAAATTAAAAAAATATACTGAAATTAAATTATACATATTTAACTAATAATAACTTTATCAACAAATTTATTAATACAGAAACATCCTCAATAAATTAGATTTTGCTTATATTCTATTAGATATCATATTTCATACTGATCTATTATTAATGTAAACATAATTAATTAAAATAGTAAAAGGATTGGATGGAAGGAATAAGCATAATTAGATTTTATTAGAACTAAGCGCTATTACTTTAAATAATGACTAGAAATATATTTTTTTAATTAAATTTATCTATTAATTATAACAGAAGAGGTGTAGGGAGGATTACGCAGTATCATTCATTTTATTTTTTCAAATTTTGAAAACGAGGATTTGCTTATCCAATAATTAAATTTTCTTTAAAATAATTAAGCGTATTATACTATAAAATAAAAATCTATTATAAAATCAATATCCAAAATAATATAATTAAATTACAAAATCATAAAACAAAGATTTTATAATAAAAATTAATAAAATAATATATTCAAGTAATCTACTTTATTTATTGCAAGAATTAAATTATTACTTTACCAAGTTCACATCAATTTAAAACCAGTAAGCACTATAATTACTATTTATCATTTTTCACTGATTTTAAATTTTTTTCATGGATTGGTTTTTAAATATTCAGTTACAATAATTTAATTTTATGCTTATTTTTACTAAATGGCTTTAAAATTTGAAATTAGTTTTATTTACTTATTTTTGATTTCTGCCTATTTGATTCACTCACTATTTTTTGAAAGAATTTATTGATTGAAACATACTATTTAAAAATCTTTATTATTATTATGATCAAATTCTATTTATTTTAATAATCTTTAATATATTTAGATACAACCTATTCAAAATACACAATCTTTTTATAAGCAAAATATGCCAGTTTAAATACTATAAAATCTTATTTCTTTTAATTATTTATTCATTAAGTTGATTAAATTTAAATAAATAACTAAATAAATAAATCAATCAATCAATCAATCAACAGAAATTTGTTATGTAAAAATATTAGGAATAATATCACAAGACAAGAACTTATAAAACATCTAATAAATAATTTAAAAAATGTGAATTTTTTCATAATAATAGAGAGAGAACTGAAGCTATGACAGTAAAAGCAAGAATGTTAATTCCAGTGTTCATACTAGGAATTTTATTTTCATTTTTATTAGAAGGATTTTTTTCTAAAAAGCTCATACAAGCAGTCTTTTATTCTATGTGAATTTATACATCATTATTACTGGATTTGCAACCTTATGTACATACAGTCATATTATGGATGTCTGTTAGAGAACATTAATCAAAGCATTAATCAGCTTATTCTAATTGACTCATGCAATTTTAATCGTTACTTTTGCATGGAAATTCAATTTTACCTGAACATTCATTTATTTATTTTATTTGATCTTAAGTAAGAGTATCAAATTAGGCAGCAGCAATTGCAACAAGAGCTATTAAAACAAAAGCATAGATTCTCATTTTTTTTTTTTTTGAATTTAATTAAATTGTTTTTTTAGTTATTTATTTAATTATATTTTAAGAAAAAAACTTAAATATTATTTTTATAATAACACTTGAAATAAAAATATATTTAAAATTTAATAAATAAATGTACTTTTTAGCTCCTTGCTTTTAATCTATCTAAAAATAGATCTGCCTGAAATTAATTAATTGTATTAAAAATAATATATATACTCACAAGAACCAACTATTTTTACAATAATAAAATGTCTATAAAGTGTATTTAATATAAATAATAAATTATAAATAAATAAAATGTAATAGAAAGATGTTAGTATTATTCAATTTCATTATCAAAAATAAATAAATAAATAAATAAATAAATAAATAAATAAATAAATAAAATAGGTACATTTAGTTTTAAATTTAATAAATAAATTTATATCTAACATTTTTAAATGGACCAGCCATTATTAATTTATTAAAAAATTTATTTAAATAATTTTGCTCCATTTAATGGATACAATATTGTCAATTAAAATAGATAAATAAATAAATTTGATTTCGCTTTTAATTTAATATTTTTGGTTCTAATTTTATAGATTTTTGCGTTTAGATATATAATTAATTAAATATACTATTATTAGACTTTACTAGAACTTATTAGTTGTTATCAAAAAATAAATACCATCTACACCTTTTAAAAAGAGGCATTTTAGTTAAGGTGAATTTTTTGATAAGGTGCAAAATATAAAGAAAATAATTAAGATTTAGAAAAGTTATTTGAAATATAACAAATCATGATATCATGGTTAGTGATATTTCAAATGCAAAAATAGCTAAATATATATATTAATTAAATTCTTAATTTTGTATATTCTAAATAAATAATAAACTTTAACTAGTTTTTACTAGAAGTATCATAGCTATCACCAATAATAACTAAAATAGCTTTGATGAATTTTAGATTTATTTAATAAAATTAAAATTAATTTTAATATGAAATATTTTTAATAAAAATGAATAAAATATTTTTAAAAATACACTTAAATTAATTTATTTACTTTTAATGTTTAATGGTTTTATCAATTAATTAATTAAAATATAAATTTCATCAAGAAATTAGATTTTACTTATATTCTTTTGGCTATCTTATTTTAAAGAATTTTTAGAACTATTGTGTTTATAGACATAATCAAATAATTAAGTAAGAGCATGAAATTAGCTAAAATTAGATTTTCTAGAATTAAGTACTATTAATTAAGATTAGACTAACAAATAACTTCTTACTTGATTTTTTCTTTCAATTACTGGCTTTATCAATTATACTTTTCTTGAATTATGTAATAAATTATTGATTCAAGCCTCCATCATACTGAATTAATCCTAAATGCTCTAAAGACATTTAAATTTACATAAAATTTTATTTATACATATTTATATAAACAATATTAATTAATTAATATGCTAATTTTAAATTATGATACTACTTGTAAAAAAACATATTTTATAATAAATAATAATTAATTTTGCTATTTTATATTTTTTGGATGAATTTAAATATTTTAATTATAAAATAATAAAATTCAAGATTAAAAAATCGAAAAATATTACTTTTTAGCTCTAATTGATTATTTTCTAATTTAAAGAGAATTTAAAAAAAGTAGTAATAAAAAAATTTTTTTTCAATAACCAATAATTAAATTTTCTTTTAAAATAATTAAGGGTATTATACTATAAAATAAAAATCTATTATAAAATCAATATCCAAAATTATATAATTAAATTACAAAATCATAAAACAAAAATTTTATAATAAAAATTAATAAAATAATATATTCAAGTAATCTACTTTATTTATTGCAAATACAGGAATTATTACTTTACCAAGTTCACATCAATTTAATACCTGTAAGCACTATAATTACTATTTATCATTTTTCACTGATTTTAAATTTTTTTTAAGGATTGGTTTTTAAATATTCAGTTACAATAATTTAATTAATTATACTTATTTTTATTAAATGGCTTTCAAATTTGAAATTATTTTATTTATTTTTGATTTATTTTTGATTTCTGCCTATTTGATTCACTTTCTATTTTGAAAGAATTTATTGATTGAAACATATTATTTAAAAATCTTTATTATTATTATGATCAAATTCTATTTATTTTAATAATCTTTAATATATTTAAATACAGCCTATTCAAAATACGCAATCTTTTTACAAGCAAAATATGCCAGTTTAAATACTATAAAATTTTATTTCTTTTAATTATTTATTCATTAAGTTGATTAAATTTAAATAAATAACTAAATAAATAAATCAATCAATCAACAGAAATTTGTTATGTAAAAATATTAGGAATAATATCACAAGACAAGAACTTATAAAACATCTAACAACTAATTTAAAAAATGTGAATTTTTTCATAATAATAGAGAGAGAACTGAAGCTATGACAGTAAAAGCAAGAATGTTAATTCCAGTGCTCATACTAGGAATTTTATTTTCATTTTTATTAGAAGGATTTTTTTCTAAAAAGTTCATACAAGCAGTCTTTTATTCTATATGAACTTACACACTATTAACATTGGATTTGCAACCTTATGTACATACAGTCATATTATGGATATCATTTTCAGCACATTAATCAAAGCAATTATCAGCTTATACTATTTGACTTATGCAATCTTCAGTTTAAACATAGCATGCAGGGTCAACTTTAGCCATACAGTCCTATATTTTATTAAATTGATCTTCAGTAAGAGTATCATATTAGGCAGCAGTAATTGCAACAAAAGCTATTAAAACAAAAGCACAGATTCTCATTTTTTTTTTTTGAATTTAATTAAGTTGTTTTTTTAGTTATTTATTTAATTATATTTTAAGAAAAGAACTTAAATGTTATTTTTATAATAACACTTGAAATAAAAATATATTTAAAATTTAATAAATAAATGTACTATCTATAAATAGATCTGCCTGAAATTAATTAATTGTATTAAAAATAATATATATACTCACAAGAACCAACTATTTTTACAATAACAAAAAGTCTATAAAGTATATTTAATATAAATAATAAATTATCAATAAATAAAATGTAATAGATAGATATTAGTATTATTCAATTTCATTATCAAAAATAAATAAATAAATAAATAAATAAAATAGGTACATTTAGTTTTAAATTTAATAATTAAATAAATTTATATCTAACATTTTTAAATGGACCAGCCATTATTAATTTATTAAGAAATTTATTTAAATAATTTTGCTCCATTTAATGGATACAATATTGTCAATTAAAATAGATAAATAAATAAATTTGATTTTGCTTTTAATTTAATATTTTTGGTTCTAATTTTATAGGTTTTTGCTTTTAGATATATAATTAATTAAATATATACTATTATTAGACTTTAATAGAACTTATTATCTGTTATCAAAAAATAAATACCATCTACACCTTTAAAGAAGAGTCACTGTAGCTAAGGTGAATTTTTTGATAAGGCGCAAATTTTTAAATAAAGTGGACTTCATTCATTATTTCTGAGAAGTGTCTATTTCTAAAATAATTACGGTATTATTTTATAGCATGTGCTTTTCGGAAACAAAATTAAATAGATAAAAACTATATCTAATGATTTACCCATAATTTGATTTGGATATTTTCAAAATTAATTTTGTACTATTTATTTATTTAATATTTATTAATTCTTTTACTTAATTTATTAATTCTTTCAATTAATATAACTAAATTTTATAAAACAAAAAAAATGATTTCAAAGAAAGTACAATTTGAAAATCTTGAAGAAGTACCTTGTGTTTTAAGATAATTTGTTTATTAACATTTAATTTATTACATCAAAAGTTTGCATGCTCTTCTAAATAGTCTCATACTTAACTCGAAATCTATCTCAGGCAAATTTAATTTTAAAAAATATTGGTTTTTATTAATTAATTATTATTTTATAGCAAAAATTTTTTAATTTTCTATTAATAAAGATAATCAGTCTAACCAGCTTTTTCAAAAAATAAATTTTACTTTGAATTTTTTTCATTTTTCTTTTTATTTCTCCTCATTTTTTAAAAGTTTTTATTTCTTTTTTTCTAAATTGATGTTTATTTAATGTTAAAAAGTGATAATTAAATTGGTAAAGATGGTGCATCAATTTTAGCTTGTTCTTTAGCAAATTATACTAGTCTCTCAAATTTGGTACTCTCTCTTGAGTAAACATTTACTTCATCAGATTATATTTGATTTATTTCTTCTTTGGTTTTAGCTGTTTATTCTCTAGCTTAACTATTATTTTTTAGTAAAAAATATCTACATAAAATATTAATTTTATTGTTAAAAAATTAATAAGTGACAATAAATTGGATAATTAATGTGTTTTAAACATACTTTCTGCTTTACAAAACAGTACTCATCTATCTCAATTAGATCTATATATATAGTAAAAGCCATTTCTTTTATTTTAAATTGTCTCATTTATTATTTTTCAAATCAACAAACCATTTTATGAGATTTTTATTTGTTTATTTATTTTATTTTTTCTAATTTGATTAATTGATTAATAACCAAATTAATTTTCTTATTTAAAATCTTTAATTATCATTTTTATTTTTTAAATTTGTTAAAAATTATGTTTAAAATAAAAAAGGAAAAATTAAATTGATGCATAGGGTGCATCAAACATAGGATCTGCTATAGCAAACTATATCAATCTCTCAAGTTTAACACTTGATCTTTCTTGTTCAAGTTTGAGGTATTTTTTTTGATGAAAGCTAATTCAAATTAATTAAAAATTTTTTGTAAATACTTAAAAAGTGTCTAAAAAATTGGAGCAGAAGGTTCATATGGCTTAATATCAGCTTTATCGAAATGTACTAATCTTTAAAAGTTGACACTTTTCCTTGAGTAAAAACAATTTATTTATTTGTTGTTGATTTTGGGATTTCTTTTTTAAAAAAAATTAATTCAAAAAACAATTTATATCTTTTAATTTATTTATTTTTTTAAATTACAATAAAAATAAATTTCTAAAAATTTTTTATTAAATAAATAATAAAGTAACAATGAATTAGGTTCCTAAGGTTCAATAGGTGTAGGCTTAGCATTGTCAAAATGTATTAATCTATCTTTTTTGGGATTATATCTTTGGTAAAAGCAATTTTATTTTTTTATTTATTTTTTAATACAAAACACAATAAAATATTTTGGCTTAATTTTCCATATTTTTTGAGCTATTTTTTACTCTCCTAATTTTTAATAATTAAAAAGTAATAATCAAATTGATGGATAAGGTATATAAGAATTAGGATCTGCTTTAGTAAAATGCTCTAATCTCTCAAGCTTGCATCTAAATCTTTTGTAAAAATGTTTTTTTTTGTTTTTTCTTTTTATTTCATAATAAAAAAATGATTTGAAAACAAAATAAAATAAATTCATTAAATTTATTTCCATTTTTTAATATTGTTAAAATTTATTATTAGCAAGTAGCTTTTTTTCTAAAATTGAAAATAGTTTATTCAATATAAATATTTATTTTATTAATGTTTATTAAGAATATTTTTTGAATATTTAAAAAGTGGCAATTAAATTAGAGACTAAGGTGCTTCAAACTTAGGTTCTGCTTTAGTAAACTTGGTTAATCTTTAAACTTTAATACTAGAGCTCAGGTAAGAATAAGCAATAAATATATTTATTTTTATAATGTTACAGCCCAAAAAAATTTAGTTCATTTGAATTTTAAAAAATATTTATTTTGCAAAAATAAATACAAATTTACTAAATAAATAAAAATATTTTTCAATTTAAAGAAAAAAGGAGATTATAAAATAAAAAATCAAAAAAATAATGAATTCTTTCTTATACAAATTCGTTCATTTATTATTTTTTCCAAAATTTTACTTAATTTAATTAAATCAAAATATATATTTAGTAAATCAAATATTTTTACAAGTAAAATTTGAATTTTTTTATTAAATATAAGCTAAAATTTCTTGTATTTTTACAGTATTTATTTAATATTTAATTAACTGAAAATAAATTAAAATATTTATTTGAGCTTTTTTTTATCTACTTAATTGATTCTTTTATTATTTTAATTATTATTTTTTTAATTTTCTATTTTCTCTGATTTCGAAGTTAAGTGGAATCAATCAACTACTTACTTTTTAAAGGGAACATTTAATTAAAAACTTAGTTATCAACTTTAATTGTTCAATCTAATTCTCATTTATTTTCTTATTTAATCGATTCATTTAAGTTTTATTTTTAATATTAAAAAGTTTAAATGAAATCTCTAATGCTGGTGCTTCAGGTTTATGCTAAGGTTTGATAAGCTCCCCAATGCTCTTAAATTTAGATCTTTATTTTTAGTAAAAAATTATTAATTTTTCTTTTTTGTTCTTTGAAAAAAAAATTATTATTTTGGCAAAAAAAATTTTTTGCTATTTTATTATAAATTAATTTATTTATTTGTTTTAATTTTTTTATTATAAAAATTTCTTAAATAAAAAAATATTTTTTTGTTTATAATTCTTAATTTTAGTACTTACTTAATAACTTTCTTTTAAATTCCAAAAAAGTTAAAATAAAGTTGATGCTTTGGGTGTATCAAACTTAGGTTCAGCTTTATCTAAATATAAAAAGCTCACAAATTTGAAAATTGATCTTAAGTAAAAACAATTTATTTATTTATTTGTTTTTAGTTGTGATATTTTTATTATTTGATATATTTTTTTTTGGTTTAGAAAAACTTATTTCTTTTAAATTTTATTTTCTTAAAATATTTGATTATGATGATTAATGAATGAATGAATAATTTTTTATATTTCATAATTTATTTGAAATAATTTAATAGTGATAATAAATTTGGTAACGACGGTGAATCAGGTTTATGTTCTTTTTTAGCAAATAGTACAAGTATTCAAAATTTAAAGCTTGAATTCAGGTAAAAATAATTTTTTTATTTATTTGTTTTTGATTGATATTTTTTGATAATAAATTAATTAATTGAGAACAATAAAAAAATTTTAATTATCTTCTATTTGGTTGGATTATGATTTCCACTTAGTTTTTTAGTTGAATAGATTTAAAAATTTTATTCTTCTTTAATGACTATATTTTTATTTACAAATTTCTTTTGTTTGGTTATGATTTCCACTTATTTTTTTAGCTAGCTGAATAGATTTAAAGACTTTTATTCCTCTTTAATGACTAAATTTTTGTTAATAAATTCCTCATAATTTTTTCTTCAATGTTTAAAAAGTGGCAATTTAATTAAGTAAAAAGCTACACAAGTCTTAGGTTCTGCTTTAACTAGCTGTATTGATCTCACAAATTTAACTCTCTCTCTAAGGTAATAATTGTTTGTTAACTCGTTTTTTGATTATTCAAAAACATATTTTATTTATTTTTTTGATTTTTATTTTACATTTACTGGTATGGCATTTTTTAAATTTATTACTATTCATATTTGTTTTAATTTAATTATATATACTAATAATTTTTTATTGAATATAAAAAGTAATAATTAAATAGACAATAAGGGTGCATCAGATTTATATTCCTCTTTATTAAGCTGTCTTAAAATCTAAAATTTGGAACTTGATCTAACGTAAATAAAATTATTTGGGTTATGTGTGATATTTCTAAGAATAAAAACTAACTAATACATAAAAAGACAAAACATTTATAAAAAATTTGGATTTATAATTTTTTTTTTAACTTATTTTGTTAACTTAGTTAGGAATTTTTTTTAATATTCATTTTGTTTTTAAAAAAGATATTTTATTTATTTTTATATTTATTTAATATTTTAAATTTTATCTTTATAAAAAAAATAATTGAAAAATTAAATAGTCATAATATGATTTCTAAAGTTGAATTATTTTCTGCCTTAGACAAAAGCTCTAATATCTCAAATTTAATTCTCAAACTATCGTAAAATATTTATTTATTTATTTTAATTGGTAATATTTCTTAAAATTATTTAAAATAATTTATATTTTTCATTTACATAACTCAATTAGATATTTAAAAAACAAACTATTTTATCTACTGTAATTATAGCAGTTATGATAAATAATATATAGAAAAAAGTGCCTTCTGTCCCCAGAAAAAAATTAAAAAAATATTTTATTTTTGCTCACATGAAGAAATTTTTAAAGAGGGTGTGCTCCTAAAAATTTGTTTTGTTTATTTACTAACATTATTTTTAATCTAATAATAATAAATATATGTCAGTTAATGAATCATTTCTGAGTAGATAGATAAATAGATTAAATAAATACTTTAGATTTTTTAATTCCAAAAAAAATGTGCCTGCCTAGGATTTTCTCTCTCCCATTAAATAAATAAATAAAGAATATTCTAAATTAAAACAAAAATTTATTTTTATTCACATCAGTTTTTTAAAATATTTCCACAAAAAAGTTAAAAAAGATAAAAATCAATTAATTAAGCACTATAACAAATAAAAAGTAAATAAATAATTAGAATCTTAAATAAAAATTAATGTAAATGTGATACAAACTAAGCTTTTAAGTTGTTATTTTATATTATTATATTGAATATATTTAAATAGATCAAATTATTTCAGTGATCATGATGAATTAGGCTTAAATTTAAATTTTAAAAATAACACAAAACTTTAAAGTTTGGAACTTTATCTTTAGTAAAATCTGCTTCTTTTTTTTAAGTTTGTTTAACATATTTATTTATTAATAAATTTAAATTCTTTATTTTTTCATATTAAATTTGACATATTAAGTGGTAATAAAATTGGCTCAAAATTTGTTGCATCAAGCTTATGTTCTACTTTAGAGAGCTGTATTCATATCACAAATTTGACTCTCAATCTCTAGTAATAATAGTTTAATTATTTTATTTTTTGATATTTCTTAAAAATTCTTTAAAATAATTAAATTTGAGTTTTTTATTTTATTTATTTTTTTTTATGGATTTATATGAGCTTGTTTTAAAAGTAAATTCATTTCTTCAATTTTAATCATTATAAGCTCTGCTTTGATTTATTAATGTTGTTTTAATAAATAATTTTTCTTTCAATACTTAAAAGTAATAATTAAATTGATGACCTAGGTGCATCAAGTTTAGCTTCTTCATTAAACAAGCTTGTTAATCTCTTAAATTTAACTCTTAATCTCGGGTAAAAACAGCTTATTTATTTATTTTTGAAATTTATTTTTATAAAAAATAAATAAACAAACACAATCAACATTTTAAATTAAATAATTAATTAATTTATCATTTTTTATTTTGAATTAGTTTATTTATCATTTTATTCATTAAGTATTTTAGCTGAATTTTCATTTTCAATGACAAAATATTTTTGATACTTATTAATTTTCATAAAATTTATAAAGATGTAACTAAATCGAATAACAAAGCTATAGAATAAAAGTGATTTGTCTCAAATTAAAAAGGATAATTACCTAAAATATACATTTATGATTATTTTTGAGCTTGCTTTTTATTAATTTAGATTTTATTAATCTTGCTCCAATTTAATTTTACTATTTAAATGTTTTATCTGTTCTATTCTTGTTAAGATTGTTATTTAAATAATTTTTTGTTTCTGTTCCTAATAAATTTGTTATTTAAATAATTTGTTTGTTTGTTTATTAATAGAAAAAAAAATAACAATTTTAAAAATTATTAATTAAATTTATGTTTTCATTATTTAAAGTATTTTAATTTCTTTTAAATTTTTTTAAATATATATTCGTATATTATGCCCTTTTTAAGACAAAAAACTGAAATTTTAAATATTACTGTAATTTTATTATTATATAGTAAGGACAAAATTTATTTAAAAACATGATTGAATAAAAAAAATTAATTTTTGCCTACTGATCTAAAAAAGCCCCGATTGTATATTCTCTTTGAAACATACTATTTAAAAATCTTTATTATTATTAAGATCAAATTCTATTTATTTTAATAATCTTTAATATATTTAAATACAACCTATTCAAAATACGCAATCTTTTTACAAGCAAAATATGCCAGTTTAAATACTATAAAATTTTATTTCTTTTAATTATTTATTCATTAAGTTGATTAAATTTAAATAAATAACTAAATAAATAAATCAATCAATCAACAGAAATTTTTTATGTAAAAATATTAGGAATAATATCACAAGACAAAAACTTATAAAACATCTAGCAACTAATTTAAAAAATGTGAATTTTTTCATAATAATACAGAGAGAACTGAAGCTATGACAGTAAAAGCAAGAATGTTAATTCCAGTGCTCATACTAGGAATTTTATTTTCATTATTATTAGAAGGATTTTTTTCTAAAATGCTCATACAAGCAGTCTTTTATTCTATATGAGCTTAGACACTATTATTATTGGATTTGCAACCTTATGTACATACAGTCATATTATGGATGTCTGTTAGACTACATTAATCAAAGCATTAATCAGCTTATTCTAATTGAGTTATGCAATCTTCAGTGTAAATTTCGCATGCAGGGTCAACTTTACCTGCACAGTCCTCTATATATTTTATTTGATCTTAAGTAAGAGTATCAAATTAGGCAGCAGTAATTGCAACAAGAGCTATTAAAATAAAAGCACAGATTCTCATTTTATTTTTTTTTGAATTTAATTAAATTATTTTTTTAGTTATTTATTTAATTATTGAAATAAAAATATATTTAAAATTTAATAAATAAATGTACTTTTTAGCTCCTTGCTTTTAATCTATCTATAAATAGATCTTCCTGAAATTAATTAATTGTATTAAAAATATATACTCACAAGAACCAACTATTTTTACAATAACAAAAAGTCTATAAAGTATATTTAATATAAATAATAAATTATCAATAAATAAAATGTAATAGATAGATATTAGTATTATTCAATTTCATTATCAAAAATAAATAAATAAAATAGGTACATTTAGTTTTTAATATAATAAATAAATTTATATCTAACATTTTTAAATGGACCAGCCATTATTAATTTATTAAAAAATTTATTTAAATAATTTTGCTCCATTTAATAGATACAATATTGTCAATTAAAATAGATAAATAAATAAATTTGATTTTGCTTTTAATTTAATATTTTTGGTTCTAATTTAAAAGGTTTTTGCGTTTAGATATATAATTAATTAAATATATACTATTATTAGACTTTAATAGAACTTATTAGCTGTTATCAAAAAATAAATACCGTCTACACCTTTTAAGAAGAGGCACTGTAGTTAAGGTGAATTTTTTGATAAGGTGCAAAAAAAAGAATTTAGAAATTATTTGCTTATCCAATAATTAAATTTTCTTTTAAAATAATTAAGGTTATTATATTATAAAATAAAAATCTATTATAAAATCAATATCCAAAATTATATAATTAAATTACAAAATCATAAAACAAAGATTTTATAATAAAAATTAATAAAATAATATATTCAAGTAATCATCTACTTTATTTATTGCAAATGCATGAATTAAACTATTACTTTACCAAGTTCATATTAATTTAATACCTGTAAGCACTATAATTACTATTTATCATTTTTCGCTGATTTTAAATTTTTTTCATGGATTGGTTTTTAAATATTCAGTTACTATATTTTAATTAATTATGCTTATTTTTACTAAATGGCTTTCAAATTTGAAATTAATTTTATGAATTTATTTATTTTTGATTTCTGCCTATTTGATTCACTCGCTATTTTTGAAAGAATTTATTGATTGAAACATACTACTTAAAAATCTTTATTATTATTATGATCAAATTCTATTTAATTTAATAATCTTTAATATATTTAAATACAACCTATTCAAAAAACACAATATTTTTACAAGCAAAATATGCCAGTTTAAATACTATAAAATTTTATTTCTTTTAATTATTTATTCATTAAGTTGATTAAATTTAAATAAATAACTAAATAAATAAATCAATCAATCAACAAAAATTTGTTATGTAAATATATTAGGAATAATATCACAAGACAAGAACTTATAAAATATCTAACAACTAATTTAAAAAATTTGAATTTTTTCATAAAAATAGAGAGAGAACTGAAGCTATGACAGTAAAAGCAAGAATGTTAATTCCAGTACTCATACTAGGAATTTTATTTTCATTATTATTAGTAGGATTTTTTTCTAAAAAGTTCATACAAGCAGTCTTTTATTTTATGTGAACTTAGACATCATTATAATTTGATTTACAATCTTATGTACATACAGTCATATTATGGATGTCTGTTTCACTACATTAATCAAAGCATTAATCAGCTTATAATAATTCACTATAACAATCTTCAGTGTAAATTTAGCATGCAGGGTCAACATTAACCATACAACCATCTATTTTATTTATTTGATCTTAAGTAAGAGTATCATATTAGGCAGCAGTAATTGCAACAAAAGCTATTAAAATAAAAGCACAGATTCTCATTTTTTTTTTTTGAATTTAATTAAATTGTTTTTTTAGTTATTTATTTAATTATATTTTAAGAAAAAAACTAAAATGTTATTTTTATAATAATACTTGAAATAAAAATATATTTAAAATTTAATAAATAAATGTGATTTTTAGCTCCTTGCCTTTAATCTGTCTATAAATAGATCTGCTTGAAATTAATTAATTGTATAAAAAATAATATATATACTCACAAGAACCAACTATTTTTACAATAACAAAAAGTCTATAAAGTATATTTAATATAAATAATAAATTATCAATAAATAAAATGTAATAGATAGATATTGGTATTATTCAATTTCATTATCAAAAATAAATAAATAAAATAGGTACATTTAGTTTTAAATTTAATAAATAAATTTATATCTAACATTTTTAAATGGACCAGCCATTATTAATTTATTAAAAAATTTTTTTAAATAATTTTGCTCTATTTAATGGATACAATATTTTCAATTAAAATAGATAAATAAATAAATTTGATTTTGCTTTTAATTTAATAAATTTTTGAATAATTAACTGCCTTTATAAAATGAGGGTTTTTTCCTCTAATATATATAGGCAGTTGAAAAATTATTTAAAAAATAAAATTCTTGGAATAAGTAAAGATATTGACATTTAATAAATCATCGTTATTTTTGAAAAACTAGTCTATATTGCTGCTTTTTTTTTATATAATTCCACCACTGATAATAGAGTATTTTTATTCATAAATAATTAATATATACTTAATATTATCCATGCAGAAGTTTATTTAGTCAAGAATAATTTATTTTAATAGTTTATTTAAATGGATTTTTAATTAAATTCATATGTAAAAAGAAAATCCTATTAAGTTTACTTTAATGTTTCTTGTTTTACAATAATAAAATTAGTTTTTTTATTTTTTTTATTTTATATTTGAACATTTAAATTAATTAATTAGTTTATTTAATAGCATTTTTTTATATCTAAATTAATTAGATAGTCTTATAAGACAAACATATACATATTAAAAATCTAACAAAAGCAAATAAAATTAAAATTCGATATCTCAGAATAAGAGAGCAAAAAGAGCAATAGCAAAAACTAAAACGAAAGAGGTAATGTTAGAGTTAAGGCAAGCGTTAATAGCTTTTTACCAAGCTTAGATATTTTTATTGGTGGAAGTACACTTAAAATTAATACAGCTCAAAACATCATTTTTAGAAGAAGGATTATCTTCTACACATATCATTTCACATTCTACAATTTTAGTTTATTCAGTTAAGCAATCCTTGTCTGTATTCTAGCAATATGTTTCATTATTTTACAAACAATCAATAGTCTTATATTCTACTTCAATATCAGGTTAAGATTAGGCACTAACAGAAGAAATAGCAATTACAGCAAGTAAAGTGATGGCGAAGAATCTCATTTTTTGTTTTAGTTTTTTTATATTATTTAATTAATTAATTATTTCAAATAGAAAGAAGCACAGAGATTTACTGATATTTTATAGTGCTAACAACTTAAGAAATATGAAATTATAAATTTAAAAATATAGACTTTAGCTTTTAGCTTTTATTAATTAAAACTAGACTTAAATTAATTAATTATAACAAATTTTTTCAAAAAGCTCTACTTTAACATTATATTTTATGTGTGAGAATTTTCTATTTTTTTTCTTTCTTTCTTTAAATACTCTGTTAATTAAATAATCTCATAAGTAAAGTACTATTTAACGTGATCTAATTAATTTAACTATTTATAGTTTTAAAGCAAACATTAGATTATATCATTCAAAAAGGGATGACTTTTGTAAGGAGTAAATAAAAATATTAATAGATTTCAATTAATCTACTTTTAAAATCAATTAAAACAAAAAAACAATGAATATTCTTCTAAAATACAATAAAAAGATCATTGATTAATATTTTATTTTTCATTTCTGATCATTATACTTGAGACACCATATATCATCAAAAATAAATAAATAAAATAGCTTTAATTATTTTTAAATTTAATTAATAAATTAATTTTTATATCTAACATTTTTAATAAGTCAACCATAATTAAGTTATTAAAAAATATATTTAAGAATAAGGAATTATCAATTAAAATAGATAGTAAATAAATTAAATTTTGAAATTAATTTAACACTTTTGGTTCTAATTTGATACAGTTTTTAGATAGATTGAATACATTTAGGATAATTGATAGAATAGGGATTAAATATATTTTAATTAGATTTTACTAGAATTTATTCGCTTTTGTTCTAAAACACAATTTATAATTAGATTTTGCTAGTATTTATTATCTTAACTTTCATAAATAATAAATAAAATAGCTTTAACAACTTTTAAATTTAATTTTAAAAATTAATTTTTAAATATAAAATATCTAAAATAAAAAATAAGTTATTAAGATATTAACACAAATATACTAATTAAATTATTCTCTTTTAATGAAAATGGTTTTATCTATTTATTAAAGCATAAAATTCATCAATAAATTAAGTTTGTTTTGCCTCTTTTCTTGTGGCTATTTTAATTAAGAGTTTTTAGAACTATTATGCATGTAAACATAATTAGGTTATACCATAAAATCGCTATAATTAGATTTTCTAGAATTAAGGATTATTAATTTATATAAAGACTAGCTAGCTAAAACATTTGTTACTTGATTTTTCCCAAGATTTACTTACTTATTTAATCAAATATACTATTTAAGAATTATGTAAACTATTGATTCGAGCTTCTTTCTGTTTACTGAATTGTATTTAAGTTCTCTTAAAGCATTTTTTTTATATTGCTATTTGCAGCAAATTTTTTCTGTAGCTGAAATGCTACATGCTAAAATTAATTAAAAAATAAATTAATTAATTACTTTTTAAATTTTATGTTAATTTATATAAATATATTTATTTGTTTACTTTTTTATATAAAATAAATAATTTTAATTTTAAATTTCCCTAAAAATAGTGCTCCTCATCCACCAATTCCTACATTTATTTATTTAGAGGATTTAGGGTAAAATAAAATAATAAAGTAGAAGTTTCGTAATTTAATTAGTAAATTTATTAATTAATTTTTATCGAAATTGATGTATTTATTGAAATAAAAATAAATACAAAAAAAATCAAGTTAACAAAACTAAAAAATAATTTTATATTAAAATTTATTACAATTTAAATTTAAATTTGAGCAAGATATAATTTATTTACAATAAAAATATTATGAATAAAAATACAATAAAATGAATATTTATTATGTGTGTATGTATGTATCTATTACATTCATTTATTGGATTCTTTTCTTCCAATAACAAAAGAAACATTTACTTAAACACTAAACTTCTTTAGATTATCAAAAAGCTTTGTCTCATCGTTTGAATTACCCCCTTCTTATGATGAATATAGATAAGAAACTTAAGAGTTATAAAGTTGATTTCTACCATATGAATCATTTTCAATGTCTATGCTTTTAACTGATTTTATTTCATAATTTAAAGGTTAGAGAGCGAGATTAGCTCTTTTAATTGCATCTTCTACTGCCTATGAAATTAACGAATCCTTCAATTCTTTTACTTTTGTTTGAGTTGGCACAAATTGAACTGAAGATATGTTATTGATTCCGTTGCTAACTGCTATGTCAATGACCTTTCCTGCTAAATCTAGATTTTTAGATATAAATTTCAACTTGTTCTCAACCTTGTAGCCTTCAAAGATAGATTTATAGCTCTTTGTTTTTTCATCATACTCTTATCTATAAGAAGGATAAATTCTCATATCTTAGGTGGTAAGTTCACTCTCTTCAACTCCTACTTTTTTCATTTCATTAATTGCTTTAGATATGCTTTGGTTGTTTTAAATAAGTGATGTCCCTGCAGAATCGCTTAAAGTTTCTATGTCAAATTCAATAATCACTTATTCAGAAGCAAGATATCCAGATGCTACTCCTGAAACTCTCATAAAATCAGGAAGATAATGGTTTCTTTCTTCCCAAGAAGCACCTAAACTTGCCTTTTCTTATTTCTCACAAGAAGCATGCATGTTTTAAGCTAATGCTAGTTAGCTCATTGATAAAACTGTTATTAAGAATAAACTTTTTAAAATTTGATAAGCCATCTTTCTTTCTTTCTTTAATTTAATTGTAATGTTTTCTTTAGAACTAATAAATTATTGAATATTGTAATTAATATAAATAATATCTTAAGATTGTTTTGAGTTTTTGATTTTTATATCAATTAATAACAGAGAAAAGGAAAAGTTTTTAATTAAAATTAGTAAAGTAGAATGTGTTGATTAATTTATTAATCAAGTAGACATTTTGATTTCTTATTAAATTATTCACACTTGTAGATTTTAAGATACCTAAATAAAAACTATTTATTTTATATAAATTAAAAATAAATATTTATGCATTAATTAATTCACACTTGTATTAATTTATTTAATATTTTTTATTCAGCAAATAAATGACTCGCTTGTACTTATCAAATTTGGTAATAAATATATACAACATACTTAAACAAACTAATATCAGAAAATTTATATTTTTTAAATTCCTATCTTAGCTAGCTCTATTTATTTAAAATATTATTTATATTAATGATATATATTAGTTGGAATTTATGAAGTATATACTTGTTATTTGCTAGTGTACGATTATAAAAATATAAGCTATTAGCACATCTTATAAACAACGAAATATAATCATACAATTAGTGATAAATCATTTTAGAATTCTTATTAAAACAAATATTTTTTGAGAAATTCTACCACTTTTTTAAGCAATAAAAATTTTATTAATTTTTTCTCACCAAAGTAGAACAAACAAACAAATAAACAAACAAGAAAGAAATAATTTTTTTATGCGAATTTGAAAACAATTATTTTTTTGAAAACTTTTAAAGTATTTAAAATGACATGAAAAATATTTAATATAAAAATAAATATTATTATTATATTAATTATTTTAATTTAATTTCAACTTGATTCTTTTCTTCCTATTATAAAAGAAACATTCACTGAGACAGTAAACTTTTTTAGGTTATCAAAAAGCTTTGTTTCGTCACTTAAGTCACTTCCAGCTGAATAAGAATCTGAAAAGGAAGCTTTAGAGTTGTAAAGTTGGTTTCTACCATATGAATCATTTTCAATGTCTATGCTTTTAACTGATTTTATTTCATAATTTAAAGATTAGAGAGCGAGATTTGCTCTTTTTACTGCATCTTCTACTGCCTATGATATTAAAGAGTCCTTTAATTCTTTTATTTTAGTTTGAGTTGGCACAAATTGAACTGAAGATATTTTATTGATTCCATTACTAACAGCTACGTCAATAACCTTTCCAGCTAAATCGAGCTTTTTTGAAATAAATTTCAATTTATTTTCAACTTTATAACCTTCGAATATAGATTTGTAATTCTTTGTTCTATCATCATATTCTTATCTGTATGAAGGATAAATTCTCATATCTTAGGTAGTCAGTTCGCTTTCTTCAACTCCTGCCTTTTTCATCTAATTGATAGCTTTAGATATGCTTTGGTTGTTTTACAGTAATGAAGTTCCAGCTGAATCGCTTAAAGTTTCAATGTCGAATTCAATAATAACTTGTTCAGAAGAAAGGTATCCAGATGCTACTCCTGAAACTCTCATAAAATCAGGAAGATAGTGCTGTCTTTCTTCCCACGAAGGACCAAAACTGCCTCCTTTCTCTAGTCTTTCACTCGAAGCCTTAATATCTGAAGCGAAAGTTAGCTAGCTTATTGATAGTAGTGAAATTATCAATAAACTTTTTAAAATTTAGTTAGCCATTTTCTTATTTAATTATTAATTTTTACTTATTATTAATTTTTTAAATTAATTAATCTCAATTTAAAAATTTTAATATCTGATTTTTTAATTAATTGAATATAATATAGAGAAAAGTTTATCTTAGAATTTTAATAGGTTTATAATAATTGTATTGAATTATCGATCTATATCTATTAACTCCTGAAGCAACATTTGCAATTTTAAGAATTCTCTCTTATGTGAAAGTTTCCTCTAATTTCTAATGATTAATTAGATGCTTTGACTCGCTAGTGTATTAATATATATCGAAACCCTATTAAAACTGATAGGTTTCTATAGATAGATTTATCTCTAAGAAAATAAAAAATTAAATTGAGTTTGAATATACTGATAAATTAAAACAAATATATGGATATTTAAAGGTATGTAAAATTAAAAAAATAAAATATAAAACGAGTAAGATTTCCCATATCTTACTCTGTGACAAAATATCCCGGATGTATTGTTCTCTAAGGAAATTCCTAAACTTTCTTTATAAAAACCTTGATCTGTCTGTATTGTATTATTTCTAGGTGAGCTCCTTTAATTTATTTTATTGATAAATGTTCAAATTAAATTTATTATGATTTTTAGCATTTTATTTTTGAGTATATAAATAGTATTTGTGGTCTTAATCTAAGAAATTAACTACTTACTAAAACCAAAAATTAATGACCAAAGAATTAATTTAAATATTCATTTAAAAACAATCAATTTATTTAAAAATAAAAATATATTATAAATAAAAAATTGATAAACACAAATAATTTTCAATTATTTTATTTTATTCCAGGAAAAGTATTTATTTAATTTATTATCATGATGAAAATATTGATTCAATAATTTTAAAACATAAAAAAAATATCATGAAGCACTTCCATATATTTAAATAGTAAAAGATTTAAAAGCTTATGGATAACATATAAAAGGATATATCAAGGATTTCCACAAAGTATTGTAATTTGAATTATATATAAAAAAACCAGATATATATTCATGTAGTTGAGTGAGAGGAATAAGAATCAATAGCTAATTTTAGATTTTAGAATTGTTTTAATAGATAAATTTTTGATTTTTCATTTAATTTTGTGAAAAAATAAATTTAATTAATTTTTGTTTTTTGATGATGGAAATTGAGAAAGTTGGTAAAAAAACGATATCTTTTGAAACCAAATATCAAATTATAGGTGGTCATAGGTTATATGTTAATAACAAAGATATACTAAGTTTTTTTGCAGTTAAGCTTACTAAACTTCATTTTAAAAGGGTTATTAAGCTATGCTTATTAATTAGTAGAATTAATAAAAATTAGATTTCATATTTTTAGTGTAAATCAATTATTTATTATATTTATTTTTTTTATGTAAGTTTATTTATTCATTTTTGTTAAAATCAAAGTTTGTTTTTGCTCTAATAAAAACAACAAACAAATAATTAATTAATTTAGGAGGTTAAAAAAAAACAAAATATTATCTAATAAAATAAATTCTTTAAACTAATTAATTGAAATCTATTTTAAAATATATTTGCTTTAAAAGTTATGAAAAAACGAAGAATTTATTCTTTAAAATAACATATTCAATAATTATTGAATTCAGACTGTATTTTGATTAAATATAAAGCACAAGGAAAATACACTTTAAGTAAAATAAAAGTTAGAATTATTGAGAATTATATTTAATTTCACTAAAAATTAATATTTTTAACTATTAATTTATTTAGGTTAACACATGAGTACAATAAATTTGATCAGTATGTTCATTCAATTTTAAGTCCATCAATTTTTCACCAAAATTTATCATAAATAAAAATGAATTAAAAAAAATGGCTTAGAACAAACAATTTCAAATATATTTTTATTTAATTTTAAACTCAGTAATACATACCCAAACCACTAGATTTTAATTAGGAGTTTGGCTTTACATACTTGTTATTTGCTAGTGTAAGATTATAAAAATATAAGCCATTAGAACATTCTATAAACAGCGAAATATAATCATATAACTAGTAATAAATCAACTTATGATTCTTATTAAAAACAAATATTTTTTGAGAAATTCTACTACTTTTTTAAGCAATAAAAATTTAATTTCTTTTTTCTTTCACTTATTTTAATTTATTTAAAGAAAGTAGAACAAACAAACAAGAAAGAAAGAAATAATTTTTTTATGATAATTTGAAAACAATTATTTTTTTTAAAATATAGAAAACTTTTAAGAGTATTTTAAACTACATGAAAAATATTTTATATAAAATTAAATATTATTATTATTAATTTAATTTAATTTCAACTTGATTCTTTTCTTCCTATTATAAAAGAAACATTCACTGAGACAGTAAACTTTTTTAGGTTATCAAAAAGCTTTGTTTCTTCACTTAATTCACTTCCAGGTGAATAAGATTCTAAAAATGAAGCTTTAGATTTATAAATTTGGTTTTTTCCATGTGAATCATTTTCAATGTCAATCTTTTTAACTGATTTTATTTCATAATTTAAAGATTAGAGAGCGAGATTTGCTCTTTTTACAGCATCTTCTACTGCCTATGATATTAAAGAGTCCTTTAATTCTTTTATTTTAGTTTGGGTTGGCACAAATTGAACTGAAGATATTTTATTGATTCCATTACTAACAGCGATGTCAATAACCTTTCCAGCTAAAAAGAGCTTTTTTGAAATAAATTTCAATTTATTTTCAACTTTATAACCTTCGATTGTAGATTGGTAACTCTTTATTTTACCATCATATTCTTCTCTGTATGAAGGAAAAATTCTCATATCTTAGGTAGTCAATTCGCTTTCTTCAACTCCTGCCTTTTTCATCTCATTGATAGCTTTAGATATACTTTTGTTGTTTTACAGTAATGAAGTTCCAGCTGAATCGCCTAAAGTTTCAATATCGAATTCAATAATAACTTGTTCAGAAGGAAGGTATCCAGATGCTACTCCTGAGACTCTCATAAACTCAGGAAGGTGGTGCTGTCTTTCTTCCCATTAAGGAACAAAATTGTCTTTTTTCTCAAGTCTTTCATTCGAAGACTTTCTTTCTGAAGCGAAAGTTAGCTGGCCTATTGATAGCAGTGAAATTATCAATAAGCATAACAAAATTTAATTAGCCATTTTCTTATTTTTAATTATCAATTTTTTCTTATTATTAATTTTATAAATTAATTAATTAATCTGAATTTAAAAATTTTATAATCTGATTTTTTAGTAATTAAATACAATATAGAGAAAAGTTTATCTTAGTATTTTAATTAGTTTATAATATTTATATTATATAATAGATATCTATTAACTTCTGAAGCAATATTGTAATTTTAAGAATTCTCTCTTATTAATGTAAAAATTTCCTTTAATTTATAATGATTAATTAGATGTTTTTACTCACCAGCATATTAATATAAAATCGAAACCCTATTAAAACTGATAGGTTTCTATAAATAGATAGATATATAGATTTATTCGCGAAGTAAAGATACTGGACAAAAAATTCGATTATAAGAATTATTCAGTTAATATTTTGATTCAATTCAATTTAAATAAATCAATCTATTGACCTTCTTTTAGATAAATTGTTTATAGACTTACTTCAAACATATTTAATTTACAAAATAAAAGGAAATACCTAAATTTTCTTCATAAAAACCTTGATCTGTCTGTATTGTGTAATTTATAGGTGAGCTCCTTTAATTTATTTTATTGATAAATACTCAAATTAAATTTATTATGATTTTTAGCATTTTATATTTGAGTATATAAATAGTATTTGTTATCTTAATCTAAGAAATGACTTACTAAAACCAAAAATGGCAAATGAATTAAGTTAAATACTCATTTAAAAAAAAAAATTAATAATTTTATTTAAAAATAAAAATATATTTTAAATAAATAAATAATTGATTAGCACAGATTAAATTTATGTAAATAATTTTCAAATATTTTATTTTATTCCAGGAAAAGTATTTATTTAAATTATTATCATGATGAAAATATTGATTCATTAATTTTAAAACATATCAAATGTCATGAAACACTTCCTAGTAAAAGATTTAAAAGCTTATGGATAACATATAAAAGGATATATATCATAGGTTTCCACAAAGTATTGTAATTTGATTTATATATAAAAAACCAGATATATATTCATGTAGCTGAGTGAGAGGAATAAGAATCAATAGCTAATTTTGTATTTTAGAATTGTTTTAATAGATTGGGTAAAGAGATTCATTAAATTTTTAAATGTTTATTTATGCAAAAATAAGTTTACCTATTCTATATATATAAATAAATGTATTTAATTATTATCATGGTGTGAGAATTAATCATATTATTTTTAATCAATGTACTATAGAATTTCAAAGTGAAAACAATTAAATAAAATAAATAGATATTTATTTTCTAATTTTGAAAAAATCTAATTTTATTTATTTATATTTTATCAATCCTTTAAATGTTTCAATCAATAAAACATTTTAACATTTTCATAATAATATTTACATTTAAAATATTCACTAAAAAAGAATAATTTAATTTAAAAAATGGTGAGATGAATAGAGTAATAATAATGTAAAACTAAGCACATTAACATAATTTACTTTATATAAATCAGCTAAAGAAATTATTTATTATGCAATCAGCTGATGAAATTATTTATTATGTTTTTGAATAGCTGATTTCATTAAAATATTTAACTAAGCACATTAACATAAATTACTTTTAATAAATTAGCTAAAGAAATTATTTATTATGCTTTTTGATTTGATTAAATAAAATATTTACTTATAAAAAATAATTTAATTTAATTTAAAAAAATAAATGGTGAGATGAATCGAGTAATAATAATGTAAAACTAAGCCCTATGAGCGTAATTTACTTTAAATAAATCAGCTAAAGAAATTATTTACTATGTTTTTGAATAGCTGATTTCATAGAATTAAAAATTAATCAATAAAAAGCAAGATGTAAATATAGATAGATATATAGGAAATGATAGATAAGATATGATAGATATAAAGATACTTAAAAAAGTGTTTGTTAGATTGTGATAGTTTGAAGGAAATTAATTAATTTATTTATTTATTTAGTAGCAATTATTTAAATTAAATTATGATAATGTATATTTTAGGCGCTTTAACAGTTTATTGGGCAACTTCTTACTTTTTTTTAAAGAATCCTCAGATTTTGAAAAAGAAGAAGAGTTGGAAATCTCCATTACTTAGCAAGGCATTAAACAAAGAGTAGGTTTTACATATAGCACACAGAGGTGGATCTAGATACAAAGTAGAAAATACTATTGAGAGTTTTGAGAATGGTTTAAAAGAAGGAACAAATGTATTAGAATTAGATGTTTGTATGACAAAAGATAAACAAATTATAGTAATTCATGATGATAATTTAAAAAGAATGTGCGGAGTAAACAAGTTAACAGAAGAATTTGATTACAAAGATTTACCCAAATTCTAAGAAGAAATCCATCTTGATTTTAGTGTTGGTGGAAAGGTTTATTCAAAAGATTATAAAAATCCATATATTCCTACTTTAGATGAAGTCTTTACAAGATTTCCAGGAGTTCACATGAATATTGAAATCAAAACACCAAATGAAGAGTTCATTTAAATGATGAATAAGTTAATCATAAAGCATAATAGAGAAGATATCACCATTTGGGGATGCAAAAACCCTGAAATGTCTCGTAGATTGAAAGAAGTTAATCCAAATATTAATAGGTTCTTCTCTCTAGGAGGTCTAAAAGACTTGGTCATTAAGTACTTCACAGGTAATAAATAAATATGATTAAAATTAATTAATTCAAAAGTTTCGGAGAAGATTTTATTGCAGAATTCGTAATCATATTTAAAACGAATGTTCAAGAAAGCAAAAATAGCCAAAAAATGAGAAAATATTGAAGCAAACAATAAAAAAATAATTATTAGTTCTATTAAAACTAAATAAAAAAATAAATGTTGAATTTTAGATTTTTATTATTTATTTTTTTATTTTTGCAGCATTTTTTCTGAGGTTTATTTGGATTTATGGAGAATATTTTGGAAAATTTTATAGATTTTTGTTTTTTATTAAGCTGAATTACTCATTATGAAAAATTTATATTAATAGGTTTGCTTCCGTTCAGTGAAATTTAAGAAGAATCTTTGCAAATTCCTATTTTTAATAGAGAGCACTATGAATGGAAGAAGTTGGAGTCCAAGGGATTTATGTAACATTTGGCTTGCAGAGTCTATTTTTTAGCAATTAGACTTTTATTAAGCTCATTTATTGCCAAACCTTTGTTTGAACACTTAAGACAGAGAGGAATTCTTGTCATATTTTGGGTGATGAACAATCGTGAAATGTTTGAAGAATGCCTCTAATTCAGTGGATGTGTTGGAATTATGACTGACGAACCTGCTTTACTAACATAATTTTTAAAAGAAAAAACTGTTTACAAGAAAGATTGAATGAAAAAATAAAATAGTAAATATAAATTAATTTATATGTAAAAAGTTATTACTGTTTCAGAAATATTCAAGATTTTGTAAAATTGTTTTCTCATTATCAAGCAAATTAGTCAAGCTAAATAAATAAATAAATTCATGATGGATTGATTGTATTAATTTTTTGATCGGAATTAAATAATTGATTAATTAAGATTACATTAATTTGTTTTTTTTATATCAGATTTTCATTAGAAAAGTATTTGATTACTCACTAAGAAAGCGAATTTTTGCATTAATTTTACATAAGTTAAATTTTTGATATGTTTAATGGATTAAATATTCAAATTTATTTCTCAATTATTCAAAGCATAAAATTAGATTTTGAATTTGAATAACTTGCTATACAATTATTCATTAGAAAAGTAATTAATTACTCATTAAGAAAGCCAATTTATGCAAAAATTTATATAAGTTGAAGGTTTTAATTAATACGTTAAAATTTATCATAAATATCTCCTAAATTACTATTAATTTCACTAATAAGGGAAGCATATTGATAAAATAAATATTCAAATTTATTTCTTAGTAAATCAAAAAAAATTAGATTTTTAGTTGAATAATTTACTTTTTGATTATAATTAGATCGATTACTCATTAAGAAAGCTAATTTTTGCATAGATTTTATATAAGTTGAATTTTTGATATGTTTAATGGATAAATACTCAAATTTATTTCTAAATTATTCAAAATAAATTAGATTTTAAATTGAATAACTTGCTAAACAATTATTCATTAAAAAAGTAATCTATTACTCATTAATATTACTCATTAAGAAAGCTAATTAATTAATTTTTGCATATTTAATGGAAAAAATAATCTAATTTATTTCTTAACTATTCAAAACAAATTTCATATTGAGTTGAATAATTTGCAACAAATGAGAGATAATTTTAAGGAAGATTAAATTTCTTGTTAAAATCAAAAATATATTTCATAAATTTTAAATAGCTTAAAAATATTTTGCTAAAATTAATTTTAGATTAAAATTTGAACTAATTGAATAGATAGATAGATAAATAGATAGATATATTTTTGTGAGTGATTTTTTATTTTTTGATTTCTTCTTTTTATAAAGAATTTATTCAAAATTTAAATTTTGTTTTGATGATCATATAAATTTATTTATTTATTGTTTAAAGCAAGATGAAGAAAATATGATGTAATGAAATTTTAATCAAATAATGCGTAGATGATTAAAATGCGAAGTATTTAGCGAATACTTTGGGAACAAATTTAATTAAAATAAGTTGTTGTTATATCCACTATAACATTAATACAAAAGTTGATCAAAAAATGCTTAACGCGCCAATTAATTTAATTTTATCTAGGCTAAATTAAATTAAAAATGCTATCAAGTTGAGAAGACTGACTAACAAAAAAACGAACTTAAATGTCAAAACATATTACAAATTATCCAGCTTTTGGATATTTTAGGTTTGATAAATCTACTTTATTCCTTTTTTATCCTAGTTTAAAGTGTGTCTAAAATTCATTTTTTACCTTTTAACAGCAGTAAATCATTTACTTTCATGAGACTAAATTAATAAAATAAAAGTAGTAACTTAATTGAGTTACACTTTTCAAGTAAACTATTCTTAAATTTGTTATAATTATTTCTAACTTTTTAAATAAATCTATCTAAAAATTAATTTATATCAGTTTATATAAATGATATATCTTTGTTTTGTATTTCTTTATTTATTTATAAAAGAGCATCTGATTTATTATAAAAATTTACATTCCTTCCTTCCTTTTTTCATTCATTCTTCCATTTATTTATTTTGCTTGTTTTAGTTACAGCAACAATTAATTCTTTTAAAAATGGTTATAGTTTCTGAATTAATAAATAAATTTTTATTATTTTTACAAACCAAGCTAAGAAAAGTCAGTAAGCTCTTTCCATCCATTTATACTATTTTATAAATGAGAAAGCTCATTTTTCATTTGAAATTATTTTAAAATAAAAATAAAATTATAAAAGATAAAATAAAACCAGTAATTAATTAATCTGACTTACAGAAAAAAAGTAATTTATTCAAAAAATTAAATATTTTTTAGAAAAATTTCCATTTAAATTTAATATAGTAAACAAAGAAAGTATTTGAATTCAACCATTATAATTTTATTATGAAATATCATAATATTTTTTTGATGAATTTATCCTTCTATAAGCGCAAAAATCTTATCTTAATTGAGTTGCATCAAAAAAGAAAGTCATTAATTCAATGAATATTTTTATATTTTTAAAATAAATCTAGTCTCATTCATTAATATAGCTTTATCTCAAATACAATCAATCATATTTAGTCAAACAATATTGTAAATACAAATATCTCTTTACAATATAAATTAAGCTAAAACATAAAACTATAAAATTAAATAGTAAAAGGACTAACTTTTCGTAGTTGTTTGTTTATTTAATTGATTTTCATATTAAATAAGAATAAATCTATTAGTAAGTAATTTACTTATTACTAATATTTTAAGAAGGAAATAAGATATATTTATCAAGAAGTATCACCTATTCTAAGCCATTCATTATATATAACAATAAATTAGAAATAATCAAAAGGTAAGGAAGAAGTAACTAACTAACTAATCAACTTAGTTGATTTATAACAAATTAAATGTAAACCGAGTAAATTTAAAAATTAATTCAAGTTTAATTTTTAGATTTTAATGTAATTTAGTGCAAATTTATTTTCTATTTTAAATAAATTTAAGATTTACAGGAAAATATGTCATTCATTTAAATTACATTGTATTTCTAGTTTACTTTCCTCCTTTTCATATTCCAGTAAAAGAAACTTAAAACATGACTAATTAAAATTAATCAAATAGTTTTGAATAACAAATAGAACTAACAATTTATTTTTTGTGTTTTTTTGTTTGTTTAAGAGTAGAAGATAAAAAATATTTGGGCGAACTTTCTTTTATTTTTTAATTTATTTGATTTGAGAGATAGAATTTTATGGAGGAGATTAATCAATCAATTAATTAATTAGCTTAAATATCTTATTTATTTATGTTTCCTTCCAAATTTTGCAAACAAGGTGCTCGCTCAAGCTGAAAATTGAATTTATTTTGATCGTATTAAATCAAAATATAAACTAGCAAAACATTAAGTGAGTGATTTCTAGGGTAAGATTATAGTTTATGAGTGATAAATATAAAATACTTATGAAATATCCAAAAAGAAAGAAAGAAATGACTACATGGTACAATAACAAGGCTATAAAAAAATAGATAGATTGTCTGGTGCACAAAATAAATTAAATAATAAGCCAAAAGAAATCAATAGTATTTGTTTCATCATCTGATTGAATATTAGAAATAAAGAAGTGACAAAATATCATTTAATTTATAATTAAGTCAATGAATGAATGACAGCAAGCAAGCAATTTATCTATCTAAGTTTTTTTTGTTTATTGCTGGTTTGATATGAAGCATAAGTATATCTAATAAAATATAAAGACAAGTTTATCAAAAAAAAAAAAAAATTAAATAATAGGAAAAACAAACTATAAAATTTTGCAAATAAATATCCTTAATTAAAAATCATATCAAATTTGCATTCAAATAATGTGTTTCGGATCCAGCTCTAAGAAATAGTAAAGCAAACCCAAGCTTTTAAAGCCCAAGCAAAGTTAGTACAAAACTAAGCTCATTCTTTTAGGTGACATGAACGTAGGCAAAACTTCAATCTGCGAGTATTACAAGAAGAACGTGCCTGCAAAGAACTTGCCAAATACAATTGGTGTCACATATTTCGAGTTCGACATCAAACTAGAAAATGGCATTAACGTTCACTTAGATATTTGGGATACAGCAGGATAAGAAATTTATTAGTAAGCCTTTATTTTTTTAGCAATAAGAAGATTCTTCCCATTTGAATTCTCATTTGACTCGTTCCAATTGAGTTCTGAGTTCTTTCGTTTTTTTAATATTTTTGTTAACTTTCTTAGAGATTGTCCAGCTAGCTATTCATTCATTTGCATAATAAATGTTATTAAAGCCAAAAAATAAAATAAAAGCAAAGATAAGAAAAGAAGAACTTGATTTGGGCAGATTAAATATGTGTTGAATTTATAATGAATTAAATTAAGGTATTTTATTTTGTAATATCAATGAATAGGTCACTACTAAAGATATACTATCAAGATGCTAACATAGTTTTTTTAGTTTTTGATGTGAGTGCAAGATAGACTCTTGAACGTGTTGAGTACTGGATTAGCGAACTCAAAGAGCAAGTAGATGATAAAAACCTAAAGTTGGTGTTAATAGGTAACAAATGCGACATAGATGCAGATAAGAGGTAAATCAGTCTTGAGCAAGGTCAAGATTTTGCTAGAAATAAAAACATTCCTTACTTTGAAACTAGTGCAATCACTGGAGAAGGAATAGTTGAAGTATTCCGCTAAACAGTAAAGGACTATGTGTAATATAAGACAAACGGAGGAAAATGAATATAACAATTAATTAATCACTCATAAATAAAATTAAATCCTCAAAGCAAATGAATAATGCCATTTGCTTTTGGCATAATCAATTTCTCTTCTTTATTTCTTTCTTTCTTTCTAAGACTGACATAGTAAAATAAATAAACAAATAAATATATTTAAGCTACGACTAGATAAAAATTAATAAATGTAAAAATAATTAGAAAAATAGAATAGATTTATAAATAATAAAATAGCTTATAAGTAAATAAATAAATAAATAAATAAAAAAACAATAAATCAACTAAACAACAACAATAACAACCAACCAACCAAAATAACTTTTAAAATCTTTAAATTTATTTATCCTTTAATAAAAAATAATAAAAACAATTAAACAAATGTGAATTAAAATTGAATGAATAAATGAATGAATGATTTCTTTAGTCATATTTAACTTTATATTCTACTTGTTCTTCTTTTATAAAACAAATACTATTCTCAACTTACCCAAAAACAAACAAACAAACAAACAAAATTAACTCGCTTTTTTATTGAATTCATTATTTAATATTTATTAATTAGATTTTTCTTTGTTTTTAGATTTACCTGTAAGTAATTATTTCTGCTCAAAAATTATAAAACCTGACACGGAGAAACCTAAGCTGCCAACAAACAAAAATGAGGTCTGACAAAATTTTTGTTTAAATTCCTAATTTGTTATCCGATGTTTAAAGCAATTATAATTAGGTTGAAAACAGCATTAAGAAGTATAGTTGAATACGGAATAGCAAATAAGTGCAATTAAGATATTAAATTTTTCATTTATTTTAAATAAGATTCGCAATAAATTGATTTATAATTAGGAATAAAATTTTACATTTTTAAGTTTTTTAATATTAGTTCAATATTTGCTGAAAAAAAGCAAATTTTAAGTTATTAATTGAAAAAAAAAGCAAATTTAATGTTTAATTAATAATAAAAATAGCATTTTAGATTAATTTGCTTGAAGTATTTCCTAATTTTTGAGAGGAAGAGAATTTAGTAAAATAATATAGAAACAATTTTTGAAATGAAAAGCTATTAATTAGATCAGCAATTACTTTATTTAAATATACCTCTATCATTTGGTTTATCTTACTTTTCTGCAAAGATATCATATCAAATGAATGAAATCTCTAAACGAAATAAATTCAAGTGTATTTTAATTTATATGGAAAGTTATTGTAAATATTTGATATACTAATAAAAATACATCAATATTATTTTTATGTAGATTAATGTGATTGTTATGATATCTAAAAAAGATTTACAATGTAGTATTATGTCAATTAATATTGGAGTTTGTAATAATCAATTTAATTTAATTAAAAAGGGTTGATTTAACCTGAGTAATGAAGATTATAAGTGAAAATATTACGAATAAAATCTTTTGATAAATTAGGCAAATCAATACGAATATCTTTTATTAAATTCTAAAGTTAATCTGAAACCTTATTAATTCAAATTTATTCTCAAAGCAAATATTCTTTGCAATCCACACACAAAAAGTAACAATACAAAATCTAAATTAAAAGGTATTTATTTATTTTAACAAATATTTAAACATTTATTAAGTATATTAAAAATGAATGAAAAACCACAAAATTATTTTTAAACGAGTTTTTTTTGTTAGCTCTTCTATAAAGCAAGCATGCAAGGTAAGCAAGCATCTATTTGGGAAAATTAAATCAAAATAAAATAGATTTGATTTACTTAACTTGCAGTCAAGCAAGCTGCTGCAAATATATTCTAGTTATTTTATTAATTATTTATTTATTTTATTATAAAAGAATAAATAATATAATTAAAGATATTTACACAATTTTATTATGTTTATTTATTTTTTGTTAGTTTTTTTGGTCACATCAAAAATTATTGAAAAAATTAATTCTAATTAAATGAAATATATTTTTTTAATTCAAAATAACATACAATCTAATTGGTTAATCCAAGTTAAGTCTTAAGCAGTTTCTTTTACATTCAAAAATATCTTTTTTTAAGAAAGTAAACCTCTTATTAATAAGATAATAATAAAATCCTTGGATACTGAGCTGTCTTAATGATTAGAGCATTCATAATTTACCATAAAAGCTTCTATTTTCTTTATTTTAAATGATGGCATTTGCGTTATTCAAATCAAGATTAACAAAAAATAAAATCAAAAAATTTTTGCTTGAAATGAATGAAATGAAGTGAGATCTTACTTACTATGATAATATAAATTTAATCATGAAGGATTACATAAAAATATACAAGTAAATAAATAATAAATATTTCAATTTATATTTTAATTAATTAATTAATTAATTGATGAATGAATGAATAAGTGAGTAAGTAAGTAAGTGAGAGCAGGATTTGTGTTATTATTTTTATTTACATTTGTTAAATATTTTGTTAGTTTATTTATTTATTGATTTATTTAATTATTTTATTTCATTTGTTAATATCGAAAGATTGGTTTTTACTAAACTAAGAAGGAAGACCTATCAAATAGTTATCGATAGAGTCGGCGTTATTATTTTATGATCTAAATACATCATCGTATCCTTAATTTGTTAAAGTAGATTCCTTTTGTGGATATTTGCTAATATTTTATTTTGATCTAAATCTGCTATTTAAAACAGAATCCATTCCCTTTCTATTATTGAGTTAATACGACGTCACATTCTAGTTTTCAGTTGTCAATTCATCCAAAGTCACTTTCTATTTATTGGATATTCTTTCTATTTCTGTGTTCGTTATTTCCAGCTAATATTTGCTATTTACAATCAATAAACAAATTAATTTATTATTATCCTTTTTAATCATAGAATTTATTATTTATTTTACAAAATCATTTCAATGTTTAATAATTAGCAATTAAAAAAAATATTATATTTTAAATTTTTTCTAACTTAAACAATTAATTTTAAGTATAAAATAAAATTCTCTTCTCTTCTAAGCTGTCCTTTTATTGATTTTATTCAAAAATTTGCCTTTTTTGTTTTCAAGAAAAGGATTTTTTAAAGTAAGATTAAAAATTTTTAAGTCTAGAAATAATTCTCATTAAATTTAAGTTTGATTTGTGAAATGATATTTTAATCTGTTTTTTATTGTATTTAAAGCTAACAAAAATATCTAAAATAGCAGCTTATTCAAAACAAATTATTGAGTATTTATGGTTTGGTAAAATACATTTTCATAAATAACATTAGGTTATTCAAGAGGGTGATTGATACAAAACTATTTAGCTTTTTCGGTAATTAATTAATCAATTACTGCTTATTATGACAATAATCATTTTCCTATTTTTTAGTTATGCTCTATATTTCATATTTATTTTCTTGAATTTTTTGACTTTAATTATGCTAGAAAAATAGAATTTTAATCTAATAAAGCTCTACTTTTATTATGCTTAATGACATCTAAAATTTATTTATTTTGCTGAAAAGAAACTTCCTTTAACATTCCCAATTCAATTAATAATTTTGATACTTATTTAAGAGATAAATTCTATTATCTCTTAAAAAGTTGATTTCAAATTTGCTAGTTTGTTTTTTATCAATTTAATTTGTTTTGAAAATCAATTTCTAAATAAATAAATAAATATTTTATTTATTTTTCTAAAATAAACAATAAATTTATTTCATTCATTCATTGATTAATAACTAATTAATTATTGATTGAAATATTTTTTTGTTTATGAGTTAATTAGTTTACCTTTGCTAAATTCTTGAAATGTTATCTGTAATATTTTCTTCGTTGACTGCTTTCTGATTTCTTGCTTTCTCAGTTTATTCTTCTACTTCTTATATTTCTTTTTTAATCTGATCCAGTTTTTGTTTCTATTTCTTTAGCTTATTTTCTTCTGAGCTAATTTACAAATCTAAGGGATTCTTTTAAGTATTATACTAATTATTTATTTATTTATTTTATAAATTTACCATTAACTAAATATAAATTTTATCAAAATCATTTTTTTTACTTCTTTTTCAAGCTTTAATTTGTCTTACTAACCCTTGTCTAGGATTTCTTTCAGCTTTTTGTTTTCTTCCTCCAGCCTCTTTATTTCATCTTGTAATAGATTTTTTTGCATCTTAAAATCCTATGAGAGGAAAGCTCGTAGATACTTTTCGTCACATATATCACAAATTCGCACAAACTCTGATTTTTATCTTGGATTTGCTCTTTTCTTTGGAGAACACTCTTCACAAACAGTGCAGCCACAAAACTTGCTTTATAAAAATAATAAAATTAGCTTGAGAACATTATCTTATCTGTTTATTGATCATCAGAAATTGCTAATTTTATGTCTAAATAATTACCAAGTCTTCGCACTCTTCATCATGTTAAACTGCTTCTTGCAAACTATGCACTGGTTTGATTTCTAATAATTATTCTCATCACATAATTGCTAAAATATCTAGTCACCTATTTGTTAAATTCCAAACTTAAAAACAATCCAAAACTATTAACTCAATAAATAAATAAATTATTGATATAATTACTCTCTTCTCTATAATTATAAATGCCTGGATTTGAAGAGGAAATCCTGTTTACTTCAAAAATATGATCAACTATTTAATCAGAAAAAATAATTATTGATTAGAAAGATCTCATCACTGATTATTACCATAATCTTGAATCTTCTAATTATCTTAATCTCCCATTAATATATTCCTATTAAATTACTTCTTTACTTTATTTATTTATTTCTTTGTTTATTTTTTGATGATTTTCTTTAATGCTAATTGAAAATTTAATCAATTTTTTGATAAATGGATTGATTGATTGATTGATTAATCAAAATATTATTAAGAATTCTTTTTTATCTATCTATCTATTCATTCATTAATTATTTCTTCCTTTCATTTATTAATGTATTCAGTTCAATATTTTTGATATCCTTGTTGAAAAAACTAGTTTGTTTAAATTCATTTTCTTGTCTAAAAATAATCAATTTCTATCCACAACAAAAATTCATAAAAGAATTACTATTTTTGCTAATAAAAATAGCAAAAAAAGATAAATCTAATGCTTCTTTAAATTATTTTTAATTTTATTAAATATAACTAGAAAAAATAATAAGTTCAATTAATTTCAATAATAAAATAAAATCTACTTTTATATTTATAAATCCATCTAACTAAATACTTTTTTTTTGAATTTGAGGAAGGAATGAAAACTCTCTTTTAATAAAAATATAAAATTCTTTCTTGCTAATTTATAAAAATATATAAAAAATAGCAAGATTTTTAATTTAAATTCAAAATTAAATATGAGAAAATAAAAAATATTCTTTTAGAGTAGTAAATAGATATCAGCTACACATATGAGAGAATATAACATAATTTACATTTTTTCATCAAACAAAAATCAGCATATTTGACTCAGTTTCGTAAATGATATTTTCATGAAATAATTACTATTTTTCATTTAATCCATTAAAATATATCAGAAAATAAATTATATATATAAATATACAATCTTTAATAAAATAATGTTTATTTATAAATATTAATTTATTTTCGCTAATAAATAGATAAAGATGATTATTTTTTAAATTGCAAAGTGCTTTACAGATTATAGCAAATAAAATATGTGACTTATATGTTATTTCTAATTAACATTTATGTAAATTTATCTAACTAAATACTATATTATTTAATTGAAATCTTTTATATTAAATAATAATTTACTTATTTACTTTTAATCTTCATTTTGATTTTTTTACCAAAATTTAATTTAATCTTAAATAATAATTAAATAATTAAATAAAAAAATAAATCTTTATTGATAATAACATCATTTATAGCTGCAAATTGCTTGACAAATGCATTAGATAAATAATGATGTAATTAATTTACTGTTTGTATCAAAAATTTTAATATTAGGATATTAATTTCTTTTAATATCCCTATAAATTTTATGTTATAATTTAGATTTTATTTCAGATATATTTAATAAATATATAAAACAAACAAACTCATACTTAAAATTAATTTGTTATTTTGACATAAATATAGTTGAAAATAATGATATTTTATTAAATTAATTAATCAAAATTACAAATTAAAATTAATAACTCTCCATTACTTTTTTTTGAATCATTGTTTAGATTTAAGTCAGGATCCTTAGAAGAGTTAAATTACTTAAATCTTTTATTATTCAAGATATTCAAAAGCTTATTAGGATGTGGGACTGGTGACTTATTGCTAAACAAAACTCAAATAAATATTCTTCCAAAATTATGTATTATGGTAGATAAAGTTTTAATTTATATAAAGACTGTAGGGCCTCTTATAAAAATATAACCAAACTTTATATTTTCTATTAAGTTATAAAGAGAAAAACTCAAATAAATATTCTTCTAAAAGTATGTATTATTGTAGATAAAGTTTTAATTTACATAAAGATTGTTGGACCTCTTATAAAAATATAAAATCCTCAATAATTAATTAATTAGAGTTCGGAGCTTTTTATATAAAAAAAGCATAGCTTTCAATGACCATACCATCCATACCATTCAACCATTTTGGAAAGCAAAGCAATAAAATCTTGAAAAATCAGATTTTTAAAAAATATTTGAATAAAAAAACATTAAAACTCTGTTACAGGACAGATTTCTTAAAGAATGAATAGAGTAGTTAACTAAGATATGGATTACATAAATTCTAAATATATTAAGTTTACATTAAAAATTATTATTATTATTATAATAAAGACTATTTTTGGTTTATTTAAGATAAATATCAAATAATTAAATTAAGTATGGATAAGAAGATTAAGCTAAAAAGGGGAATATTTCCAAAATTAGACAAAAAAGAATCTTTATCTGATTTTATAGCACAAGAAGACTTGTCAGATTTAGCATAAGATAAAGAAGATCCATAGCAAGCTTTACAGTCATCATCTGTCCAAGTATTAGGAGGTCTTGAGCTTCCGCAAGAAGCAGAGGAAGCTACGCAGGCAGTTAAGTCAGCATTAGCATATATAGCAGGGATAGAATTAATAGTTTTTCCTGGACAAGATCTACAAAATTAATCAGAAGCCCCTTCTAATCCTGAATCTGTAGAATTTGGGCATGTTTAGATAGCACATACATCTTATGAAATCTGCTCCCAACTTAAACCTTATGGCTAAGTTGGAGGTTTAGGACATCTTAGAGTACACGTGTAAAAGTATTCAGATTCACATGTAATTTAGTTACCTTTAGCAGCGATGTAGGCTACTAAAAGCAAAAAAATCAATAATTTTAAAGTCATATTTTGCTTTTAATTGGTTGAATTTATTGTAAATTATTTAATTAAATTTTTTATGTATTTTTTTATTTTTAAGAAAGGTTTTTATATTGTGAAAGACAGACAGATAGATAGACATAAATTACCTTACCTAATTATTGATTGATTTGCTTAAAACTTTATTACAATTGAATAATATTGCTCAAACGAACGAGATAAAATTATAAATGTTTATTATAATTAGATAGAAAGTACAAATTTCTCACAAATTAAATTAAGTTAATAAATAAATAAATCCTTACATTTATTTATCTATTTTAAGCAAAATATTTAATTTTCAAAAAAATATTTACTCTATTTCATTCATTCATGAATTTAAACTTACGCGATTTCCATTAAATTATTTGTTTTGAAAAAAATAAATCAATAAACAATAATATGAGCGACAATCTATTTTATATTGATAAGCATTGCAGCATATTGACAAGAATTGATTATAAATAAAAATAAAAATGAATGTCAGTCAGCGCATACCATTAAATACGATATATTTTTAAAATTATCCAAATAATTAATTAATTCGCTTTAAAAAGAAGATAGATCATCAACCAAGAATTTATTTTTAAATATTTAAAAAATAAAATAAAATATATTAAAATGGAAAATTATATTTTAAAGTTATTCTAAAAATAAGTAAGAAAGTTGTTTATTTTTTATGTATTAATTAATTAATACCTTTATTTTAGATTAATAAATAAGTTTATTTTAGACTTTTTTAATTATATGTATGTATGTACCTTTCATGTAAAGACTTGATAGCATTTTTATCAGGTGATTGATTATTAATAACAAAATAAAAACAAAGTAAATAATTAATTCAGTTTACAGAAATGTAAATAGCGATATTTGCATTCAAAAAAATTTACCCTCTTTATAATAAATTAATGAGCTAGCTAAATTTGATTAATGAATGAATGAATTATTAATAAGCATTCTATATTTAGTTTCTTTTAATTAAAGTAGATAGTTTGTTTTACATAATTTATTTGTATGTTAAACTTTAATTACTTCTAATATAAAGTAGACACAAAAAAAAAAAAGCAAATCTAATTTACATAATTTAGCATGAATGTTCTCCCAGTTAATATTAATTGTTACTAACATTTGAAAGGATAATTATCTTTTTTAATTTGTATGACATATATAAATATATTAAAGCATTTGAATTTTTCAAACATTTTAAACTTCAAAAAAATTATTTTATTTTATTTAAAAAATCATTTCAAAATTTTGCAATTATTTTTCGAAAAAAAAAAATTTAATTTGTTTATAAAATAAATTTTGAAGTCATAGAAAAACAAACAAATAAATAAAAATATTTTTTGATACTAAAAATTAAAGAAATTAGAATTTCATTTCTTGTTATTTGATAAATATTATTTGAGAATATATTGCCTTATGTGTCTATTTTTTGATAATAGATGAATTGGGATAATGGAAAAGATCTACCTTTAATTAAAGATTTTACTCTTAATTTGCTGAATTAAAGGAATTGAGACAAATAAGCAGATACTAATTAGAATAGAGCAAATTGATATGCAAATTGCTATCCTTATTACACTTAGTGTTTATGAATGCGATTGCGTCCCATTTATTAATAAATCATTAAGCTCTCTCATAATTATTTTCATGTAATCCATAATTAATTATACTTAGTACATATCTTGGTTCACAGAATGTTTGTATGGCAACTATATGTTAACATTAGCTATAGACTAAGCGTATGTAATCATGTGGGTTATTAAATGATTAATATTGATATTCATGCCTTCATTTATTTGGCCATTCATTGAAAGGTTGCATTCAGTTTGATTGACATTTTAAGGATTTTTTTTGTATAATTAGCTACAAATATCAGTGTTTTTAGAGAAGTATTAATCAAACTGGGTTTAGTAAGAAGCTGGTAAAATATTATAGTTATTATAATGAGTATAAGTAAAGTTGTCCATTAAATCATACATTGAATTTATATTTCGTTAGAAATATACGATTGGTTCATAAACTTATCTTACTCCAACATAATTGTTTGCTTGAGTTTGGCTTTTTAAGCAATTAAATAACAGCATGAAATCTGGCTCTAGCTTAACACTGTATGTTAATTCTAGATAATAGTTTTACAGCTAATTAATGAAATTCTAAGTGAGGTTAGTGTCTACTATCATGTAAACTGAAAAGAAAATTAAAGAAAAAAAGAATGGCACAAGCAATTTCATATTCAATATGCTGTATTTAACAGGTCTTATATTCTAGCTAGTAATCCCTCTTAGACTGAATACTACTTGTTCGGTATTAGAATTATCTTAGTTTTATGCGCTATTGAGATTCTTTTACAATTTAATAGTAGTTTGTGTTTATAAATTTTTCCCTCCTCTCTAAGCGTTTTATGGTGACTTAGTATCTTAAATGTCTTAATTATCAATATTGACATGATCATTATGATCCTTTTTAATTTTATTTTTTTAATCAGTATTTTTTTATTCCTGAACTTCATTAGACTAATTTTCCTCCTCTTCCTATATAAGAGTACTGGTTAAAAATTACTCATATACTTTAATTTAGTTTCTAATCTATGAAAGAGGAATTGTTGTTAAAATAGAAGGAATTTCATAGAAGCAAAACAGAGTCTTCAAATAAAGAATAAACACCAATATCAGATATCCTAAAATAAACAATAGACCAATATAAAGAATATCTTGCGTATAAGTCTACATGGAATTTAGATAAGTAAAGATCTCTTATTCTTAAAAATCTCTATATTGAATTATTTAATTCAATAATTAGTTCGAGAAATTTTCAACATTTATATAAATATCGTTATTGTGATAATCAAACTATCCCAAAGGTACTCTCTATTTATATATTAGAATAAAATTTTATATTAATTAAACTTAACTAGCAAGCAATTCATTTCAAAAATATTTTCAATTTCCAACTTTAAAAACAAGCAAGCAAGCAAGCAAACAAGCAAACTACTAAATAATATTATTTATTTATTTTTTTTATTTATTTGCTTTTTTATCTGCTTAATAATTTATTTTCTGTAAATATTTATTTATTTAATTGTTTGCTTGCTTGATTAAAATATTGCTTTCTAGCTTGTAATAATAAATAAATGATAAAAAATACCTTGAAATGGTAAACTTTGGCTAAAACCTATTGAGATGCCTAGTATAGATTATTTGGGTAAACAGTTGTCTGACGATGAATGAAATGAATTAATATCTTAATATTTCTATTATTGATAAAGATGTCCTGCATTTGTTGAGTGACACCAACTTTATTTAAATAGAGTTTTGTAAGTATTTCGTCTAGTCCAAACTAATACATCGTTATTAGCTCAAGATACTTTTAAAAGTAAAATTCTGCAGTTGAATAATCTAAGTTGTCAAAATTGTAATAGACTCCCTTATCAATAGCAAACATATTAAATACTCCTTCTATAATGTGCTAAGTATTCGCATAGAACAAATGAGTAACATTGTACATCTAAAATCTTGTTATTGTATCATTACATTGCTACTGATAGAGGACAAGTGATACACTAATATAGACGATTTCAAAAACCAAAAACAATAAAGAAAATAACTTTTTGCAAGTAAAAAAGCTGCTGTTGTAATTGAAGTTACTATCTTTCATGAAGGATTTAATATTTTTTTTTGATAAAATAATCTATTTTTTTTAAATAAATAAATTAAAATCGATTTTCAATTTAAAATTTTTAGAAAGCTCAAATTTATTTCAAATATGTTTTATTTTTTTTTAATTAAAAAAAGACTTATTGTTGAAGATAATCAAAAATATTTATTAAATTTTGATTAACTTAAGTAAATTTTGTTGTCGCTCCATAAGTTTTATTAAAGGAAACGTCTAAGTTTATCTTATTTTTTTGTTTAATTTGCTTTGATCTTAAATAGACTATTAAATATTATTAAATACATCAAAATATTTATCCTTAGTTTGAGTAATTGCTTATTCTCAAAAAAAAAAATTTTTTAGGATTTAAAAACTGGAACAGTTTTTAATTTTTCCTTAACGATTTAATTTTAATTAATGATCAATTAATAAATTAATTTTATCATAATTAATTTATTATTTTCTAAAATAGGATTAAAAAATATCAAGAGACTTTAGCTCCTAACTAACTAAGAAATTAGTAAATAATTTAAATTTGTTTCTAAATAAATAAAAAAATAAAATTGATAAAACATATTTCAAAAATCAAAATGTTTTTTTTTGTCAAAAATAAATAAATAAATTAATTAATTTACCTCATCCAATTCTTTTTAATACTCTCCTTCAAAGCTTTGTTCTTCTTACAAGATTTATTAATTATTTTCAAGATTTTAATTAGAGCTTTCGCTATTTTAATCTTCATTCTCATTTAACAATTTTAGATCAATTAGTTTATTATTTTCTAATCTTAATGTTTTAATACTTTCACCATAGTCTTTTTAAACTTTTTAATGTGATGATTCATTTTCTACATCAGCTTTATCTTACACTTATAAACTTTATAAAATCAGATATTCTACCTTATTCAAATATTCTTCTTACGCTCTCTCAATTTCGTATGGTTTTACATAAACAGACGGAAGAATATTTTCACCATTTTTGTCTGTTTCTTTTGACTTCTTTTGTGATTTTGAGGAAAGTTTACCTTTGTTGTTGCTCTTATCGTACTGCATCTTTATCAAATTTTCTAAAATATTCTACACTTCGTTGTCAACTTAATGAGGTTTTTATTTTGCACTTTTGTTATTATCTAAAATATCTTTCACTCTTTCTTCATTACTCCTTACAAAAGTATAAATAAAAGGGTACAATTATTGCTTAATAAAATTTTTTTCACTCGAATTATTTGATACGGATGATTGCTTTTTTGATGTAGGCGATGCGTAGCTAAAAATAGATTTTTATTGTTTTTTAAAGTTAGTATCAGACTCAAGTTCTTCTTAGTTGTTCAGCTTTGATACAGCAATTATCACCCCTTAGTAAGTGTTTGTTCTTATATCATAGAATATTTCTAATTAATTAAGCTTCTTTTAAGCTGTAGATGATAAATTTGAAGATAATGGTGGTGGCGCTTAGTTGTTAACTGATTCAGAATTATTTTACAAAAATGAAAAATCGTTTTTAAACGCATTTTGTTTTTAAGTATCATTATTATCTTGTTGATATTCAGAGAAGATATTTTTATCTTTTAATGATGTAGCTGTCTTTTGATGTTTTGACTATTTTAAAGTGTTTGTATTTTCAGTTTAAGTTTAGTTCTTTCTATAAATTGTAGGTAAACTTTTCAGATCAGACTTAGTTAGTTTTATCTTAATTATATAACCTTAAGATCCTAAGTTCATAAATCTAATTTGTTGAACAAATATCTTCACTTTAGTCTCTTTCATCATTTTTAGCTAATATGTTTTTATTATCAGCTCCTTTCCTTGTTTTTCTTGAAAGTCAAGGATGTATTCCCAAAAGTTAGGAATTATTTTCTCAATAAACATGCCTTGCTTTACCTTTTTCATATCTATGTTGAACATAGATATCACACTAGGAGAAATAGTATCTATTTGCCCATTCACATTTGCGATGATAAATGAAGGATAATCGTAAAGTAAATTTTAAGCCACTATCTAAGCTTAAAACAAAAGTCCTTAAGTATGTGAAGGAATAATTTTAATATTCAACTTAATAGGAAGAGAGTAATCTGATCTACTCTTTATAAATAGCTCTCTCTATTACCCTTTATTAAATTAAATATTTTGTAAATATAAATAAATAATATCTCTTTTAAAATAATTATATCAATAGACCTAATCATATAAATTCTATTTCTATTAATCAATATTTTTAATTTTGAATCTATTTAAAAAATTAGTAAAATACTTTTTAAAATATTTTAAATTCTATCAATTTTTTTTTAAATATTTTTCAATAAGTAGCTTTTTTTAAATTCAATAATTTCATTCAATTATTTCAAAAAACTCTGATTAGATTTAGAAAAATTTTAATTAAACTTAAACTAATTCAATCAAGTCTTATTTATTTATTTATTTATTTATTTATAAATTTATTTACAAATTTATTGATTTATTTCTAATTTAAATATTTATTTATTTACCTATAATTTTTTTTTGTCCTGAAGCAAGATATTAGTCAATAAACTGGTTGTGGTATTATTGCCAAATGTTAGGAATTAAGATAGAGACATTTTTGGATAAAACTTAAGATTTAAGAAATCCGATAGTTTTTAATAACTCAAGATTGACTTCTATTATGTTAGCAAAATTTTCTTCTTATGAACTGATGACTAAAATACCTTGAGTGTAGGTGTCTTCCTCTTTTAGATTACCTTCATCATCTCCACCTATTTATTCATTTTAATCAATTGTTTACTTTTATAGTACTTCAAAATGTTCTTTGTCTTCTAAGATATGTAATGAAAAAGCTTGATAACAACGAAAGGCTGATTAATTTAAGCTTCTTTATTAACTTAAATGATCAAACTAGCTCTGTATATTTGATATTTATTCAATAAGCTGATATCCTTTATTTAATAAGTTATCAGCCTAAGGAGATGGTTCTAGCAACTCTTACCAGAATTGAAGGAAATTTTACATTGTAGTGCTTAAAATCTTTTTAAACTTACTGGAATATTCATCAATTGTGAACTCAGAAGAGAAGTCTAATTCTATTTAAAAAATAAATTATTTTCATTAATATGTTTGTTTTTAAAAATTAAATTAAGATATTTATTTATTAATTACTTTTATAGTCTTTGTGATTTTGTAATTACATAATGAGTCTCTTTAATCTATATACTATGAATTACTCTTCTAATGAAGGTTAATTAAGAAGTAGGAAAGAAATCTAAATGAGGGATTGGTCTTTATTTTAAATGGTTTCAAGTAAGAAAAGAGCATACAGAAGTCTAATTTAATTAGATCCTCCAAACTTCAAGATGTTATTATTAAATATTGTGTAAATCACAAAAATACTCATTATTAGGTCTTCATTTGTTGTTTAATTAACCAGCATCCTGTTAAATTTTTTGATACGGATAGCATTTGATCTCGAAGGGCAGTTTGGTAGATTACAGTCATTTCTGTGTCTATTTAAGAAACCATCTACTTTTAGAGAATATTAATCGTATTTCGAGATTGCGTAACAGAGGACTCTCAATTACTTAATTGCTTCTTATACATATCTATAATTGGAAGAATTAGCTGCGCAAATATCATTGTTTACTGGCTCATAATTGAAATTATAGATAGTCAAAAATATAATTCCAACAACCCAAAAAAAAACAACAACAGTGCTATCTGGAAAGAAATAGTTGTAAGCTCCAATTAAAGATGTCCAAAATATGATCATAGCTTGTTCTAATTTCAAGAAAGAGAATAGCTTTAAGTTATAGATCATATTATCATTCAATAATTTAAGCAAATTAAACCACCAGACAATAGATAATATAACTTTAATTACTTGATACCTATCCTCAAAAAAAAAGGCTATAAGAATACAAAAATTAGAGACAAAATATTAAAGATTGAGCTCATATACTCCGCTTATTTTTGAATTTTTGTAGGTGCAATCAAGTCTTGTGTCGAAATACATCTTATTGATGAAAATACTAAAACCATGAAGCAGAACCATGCAGATTATTGAGAGAGTAAAATTAGGAATTTGAATCGGGGCGAAGCATTCATTCTTTGTGAGAGTATTGTAGTAAGTATTTTATGATTATGTTGCTGAATATTGATTATTTGTATTTTTTTCGCATCTAAAAGTGGAGCAAAAAAGCTAGAAGAAAGGAATGTAGAGAACTTATGTCATCGCATTCACTATAAAGTCCATTAAAGAAAATATAATCTTATGAGAAGATTTTTATTTTTCGTTTATTCGAGTATTTTATTCAATCATAATTGAAGTTGATACAAAACTCATGACTATCACCAAAACGAAAGCTGAGCAGAAGTAGAGCAAAATTTAAAACTATGATGTATTGCTGTTATTATTTGTATAAAAAGGAACAAATAGAAACATTTACATAAAATCCAGGATGCTACTGGTTACTTAAGAGTTGCGCATCCAAGGTTAGTCGATCAATCCTATTATCTGAAAAGTTTGTATTATTAAAAATGACAACTCTAAAACCATAGAATTGTGATAAAAATCAATCATCTTATCCATCACATAAAAAACCTTGAATTTAAATTTTTGAGAACCCTCTTCTGACTCTTCAAAATTATCTAAGTCGTTTTTAACCTCCATCTATCTATCTATTACTAAAATTAACTGCTATCCTAATTATTTATTTGTTTGTTTGTTTGCTTATATATTAAACTAATATTAATTAATTACTTCTACTTACTAATTTCAATATGTTTTTGCTTTAATAAAATCTATATATTAACCTATTCAAAAATAAAGAAATAATTCAAAAAAAAATAACGAGTTAATTAACTAAAATGACTTAATGTTTGTTATTGATCTGAATTTTTAAACAGAAAAATTTTTTTTCTGCTCAACTAATCAACTAATTTTTTCATTTAAATGAATAAATAACTATCCATTCAAATTTTTATTATTTATTTTTTATCTAAAATTTCAAACAAGTTCATTCAAATTTCAAACTTTTTTATCAATTAATTTATTTGTTGATAAGAATCTTTAAGGATTTATTTGATGCTTTTCAAATCTAAAATTAAACATTTATTTTTTAGTAAATACAATTTATTTAACATATATTCATTAGATTATTATATTTGCTTAAATTATCATTCAAATTCAGTAAATGAAAAATAAAAAGAGGTATTTATTGTGTTGTTTATTAATTTACATTTTAAATTAATTTTAATAGATAATTTTTTAATAAAAAAAAGAATTTATTTTAATTTTGAAAAAATTATTTTTAATCAAGATTCTCTCTCTAATTTTATATTGTAAGTAATTACTAAATTGATTCTAAAATATTTTATACTTTTTGATAATTTTTTATAAAACACAATTTATTTCTATAAGTATATTTCAATAAAATATTTATTTAAAAGAAAAAAAAATTCAATTTGCAAATAAAATATTGAATCATAAAATTAATCTTATTTTGAATAACAAACTCAAAGTTTAATAAATATGCTAAAAACAAGAACTTTTAATTCAAATAAAAGCTATAATATTTGTTTCAAATCATCAAATATAATATTCTATTTTTCACTTAAAATACAACTAATCTTTTAAACTTTCTAGCTTGTTATCTGAACAATTTTTTTTTTGCTTTTGAATTTAAATTAAGATTTGATTAAATTTTTACAAACTTTAATTTTTATTAAACAGAAATTTTGCTTATTAAAGCTTATAAATCACGAAAAACCAAATCATTCTATTTCGAAATCAATAACTATAGCTTCTCTAGATTATTTAGTTAGCTTATTTAATTTCCAAATGTAAAAACTTGTTATATTATTTTAACCAAGTATATTTAAACACAGATACTTTAAATTCTATAATTTAGATATACCCTTTGCAATATTAATAACTCAAGATCCTCTTGAATTATATTCAAAGTTAATTTTTAAATCGTCAATAAATTACAAATTTTATATCTAATCTGCTAATTTAATAAATGTATTTAAAAATCATATTACCTTTTATTCTAAAAACATTTATTGCAAGTACTATTAACAAAAATGCCTACACTTTGTATTGATTAATTTGGAAATATTATGATTTGTTTTTATTATACTGAAAAGTGGAGTAATGGGGGGAATTGAGGCAAAAAATTTAATATTTACAAAAGCATAATATATTGCTAATTTGAAAATTAAAAAATTAATTATTTAAAATATCTCTTATTTAAGCTCACCTCTAATATAAGATAAACTTTTAATAAGATAAGTATTTTTAAAAAATTTTGTAGATTTTACTTATATTAAATTAGAAGGGGTACGAATTAAATAAATATTCATTGGTTTAGATAGACTATCCAAAATTAAAAAGGCATTTAACTCTATTTCTTGTTCAAAAACTTTCTCCTAATTTTCTACTTCAGTCTCTAAAAGATGCTAATAATAAAGAGGATAAGTAACACAAATATAAAATTTTATGAATTCATACTTATCAAATTTCATTCATATTAATTAGTTTATTGATTATCATTAATTTATTAATTAATAGATAAATTTATTTGCATTTTCAGAAAATCTTATATTAAATAAAGAAAAATATAATGAGATTATTATTTTAATTTTTTTATTTTTAACCATTTAGTTAATTACATAAAGAAAGTAACAAAGTTAGCTTGCTACATTTAATTTAAATTACTCTATTACAAAATATTAAATACATAAAAATTAATTTGTTTATTTCTTTTTCATAACTTCATGCGTAAGTTTCAAATCTCTATATGTTTAATAACTAGCCTCTTTGATTTAAGAAAGGTGCTCATTAGTGTCAATTTATGCGAACTTAAGATTTTTTTATAACTTATTAATTAATATAATTAGGAAATAAAAAATTAATATCAAAAAACTTTAAATTAAAATAAATAAATAAATAAAATTAATTACAATAAAAATAAAAAAAACAAATTAATCAATAGAAGCTAATAAGTAAACTAAAAGAGTTAGATATATTGTTTAAATTTATTTTTGTACTTAAAATTATCACAATTTAAAATAAATAAGCTATTTTTACCCTAAACAAAGTGTCAAAATTGAGAGATTAGTGCAATTTGCTATAGCCGAACTTATATCTGATATTCCTTTTGTGCCAATATAATTACCACTTTTTAAATTTTATAGAAAAATATTATTAATTTGTTAGAAGGAAAAAATGAAAAAATAGATATGAAATAATGAGAACTGAATTTTTAATTAAAGATAGTAATATTTGAAAATCAAATATGAAAGAAACTAACAAAAATGGGAGAACAACAATCAAAAAGCTAATAAAAAATTATTATTAAAAAAAGTTTTATTATTTTTTATTTATTTTTATATTAAAGATGCCCCATACTAAAAATAAAAAATTGTTTTACTCGAGATAAAGTGTTAAATTTGATAGTTTAGAGATTTTTACTAAACCAGAGCCAAAGATTAACGCTCCTATTTCACCAATTTAATTTTGACTTGTTAGATATGAAAGAAATATTTTTAGTTAGTAAGAACATGAAAATTAATTAAAAAAATAGAAATTCTTATCAAAACAAAAGTTGAAAATTTAAAAATTAAGGAAAAAAAACAAAATTAAAATAAAAAATATATGAATTAAAAGAATTTTATGACTTTAAATGAACTTTTATAATAAGAAATATCACAATCTAATACAACTAAACTGTTTTTACCCTAAATCAAGTTTCAAATTTGAGAGATTACGGCAGTATGCTAAAGCAAAACCTAATTTTGATGCACCTTCAGCACAAATTTAATTACCACTTTTAAATATTGAAGAAAATTTCATTAGTTATGAGAAAAAACGACTATAAAAAAATTCGAAATTATGATTAGAAATTAATTTAAAACAAAACAAAATGTTAAAAAATTTTAAATGAGTGAATTAAGAGAAAAAAAAAAAAATCAAATACCATTAAATAAAATTAATTTATTACATTTTATTTTTTTAAATTAATGTTTTATTATTAAAGAAATAATAATCTAAAACAAAAAAACTGTTTTTAAATAAAATAAAATGTTAAATTTTCACAAATTAATTCAGTTTTTTGAAGAAAATACAATAAGTTAGCTGAAAGGAAAAAATTGTAAGAAATTAATTAGTTATTAAAGCAAAATTTCAAAATTAAAGAATAACTAAAATAATAATAATAATAAGAAGAAGACGAGTAAGAATTAAAAGAAAAAAAATAAATTAAAAAGCTAATATATAAATTATTAAAAATGTTTTTATTGTTTTAAGTTCATTTTTTATTGAAAATATTACTAACCAACAGAAATTTCTAAGTTTGAGAGATTAGTGCAATTTGTCAAAGCAAAACTTAAGTTTGATATACCAATTGAACCAATTTAACAACCACTTTTTAAATATTATATAAAATATAATTAGTTAATTAGCTATTAAAAAAGAAAAAATAAAGTAATAAATATTAAAAAAAAATAAGAAATTAAGGTATTTTAGACTTCTTTGCATAAGTGATATTTATTTATATATTGTATTATTTTGAAAGATATTGAATTATAAAAGCAATAAATATATTATTATATTCAAGCTTATTTACTGTAAAAAAAATTTTTTTACTCTCAAAATTTGAAAAAAGGTTTCTGTATTTTGATTAATTTTTGTAAAATATAAGAAATCAAATATAAACAAAATAATTAAGATTTAGAAAAAAAAAATGTTCATTAGTAATGTAAAAATTATTTGAAATATCACAAATCATGATATCATGATCTGTGATATTTCAAACGCAGGAACAGCTATATATAAAGATATTTTTTTACTAGAAATTAAGTATTAAGCTTTTGAGATTAGTGCAACATGCTAAACCAGAGCTTAATCCGGATGCACCATCATCACAAATTTGATTTTCGCTTTTTAAAAATTGAAAAAATAATCACCCATCATTTGAAAAAATAAGAAATTAATCTGAAATAAAAGCAAAAGTTAAAATTAAAAAATCAGTTAATTAGTTAGCTTGTTAAATTAAAAGAAAAAAGAAGAATAAGAATAAAAAAGGAAATAAATATTATATAAAAAGCTAATAAATCAATTAGTAAATAGAAAAAAAAATATATAAAATCATAATACATAATAAATAAACTGATTTTACCCAAAATTAAGTGTTAAAATTGATAGATTAGTGCACTTTGCTAAAACTTAACCTAAGTATGTTGTATCTATTGCTCTAATTTCGTTACGCCTTTTTAAAGTTCAAAGAATTATAAGGAGTTAGTTAATGCAAAAATGAAATTATCACAAGTTAAAAATATAAAAATAAATTAAATTAATAAAAAAACTAAATATTAATTTAAAAGCAAGCAAGAAAGCAAACTATTTAAAAAATTAGTAGTTTTATTTCTTTTAATTCATAATTTTATTTAGAAATATACGTTTAAAAATAAATAAACTTATTTTACCTAAGATTAAGTGACAAATTAGAGAGATTAGTGCACTTTGATAGAGTAGAATCTAAGCCGGATAAATTAATTTTATCAATGAAATTGTAGCTTTTTAAATATTAAAGAAAATTTAATTATAAAGAAAGTAAGAATAAATGAAGAAAAATATCAAAAAAATAGAAATTAATTTATTATTAAAGAAAAAGCAGAAAAATAAAAATGAGTTAAAGTGGGTAGGGATGAATTTTTATTATCAAAATTTTAAACAGCAAATAATCAAAAATATTGATCTGCTGCGTCTTTAAATTATATTATAATATATTAGATTATTAAATGATTAAATTAAAATGCATTTTATTATTTGGATAGGTTATGCTAATTATTCCATAATTGAAATTCATATACATATTATGGGTTAAAAAAATAGATTAAATTTAGTTAATTAATTTTTGAAAAATTTATGCAATTTTTTCATTTTATGTTTGTTTTTTTTTTTTAAATCAAAAAATCACCCATCCTCCTCCTCACAAAGAATTATGTTATGAGGAAAAAAATATTCAAAATAAAAAATAAACTAATTAAATGAAAAGCTAATAAATAAATTAAAAGATTTTATTTTTAAAAATTGATAATTATTACCTAACATTAAGTACAAAAAATGAAAGATTAGCACAATTTGCTAAAACATGACCTAATCCTGATACAAACTTTGAACTAATTTTATTTCTTCTATTTGAATATCAAAATAAAATAGAATTAATTAGTAATTTACAAAAAAAAAATATTAAATAATGACAAATTAACAATAAATTAATCATTTAAATATAAGTTAAATTAACAAAAAAATTAGAATCTGAATTAAAAGCAAATAAAAAAATTAACAAATAAAAATATTTTTTGTCTTAGATTAATTTTATTAAAAAATAAATTCACCAAAAATAAATATATAATTTTTACTAAAGTCCGAGCGTTAAACTTGAGAGATTAGAGCAGCTTAATAGAGCCTAACTTAAGCATAATGCTCCTTTATCACCAATTTTATTATCACTTAAAAGTTGAAGATAATATAATTAATTAATTAGTTAGTTAGTTGGTTCTAAGAAAAATGAAATATAATAAACTAATTTATAATCTGAAAGTTTAAAATAAAAGATTGAGTAAAATTAAGAACAGAAACAAAAATTTAGATATAATTTTATTGCTTATTATTAAAAAATATCACAATCCAAAACAAACAAGCTGTTTTTACTTAAGATTAAGTACCAATTCTGAGAGATTAATATACTTTGCTAAAACAGAACCTAACTCTGTTGCTCCATTTGCATCAATTTAATTATCACTTTTTAAATATTAAAGAAAATATAATAAATTAATTAGTTAGACAGTAAGGAAAAATAAACAAGAAATAATAAAAAATTAATTAGTAGAAAATATTAAGATTGAAAATTATAAAATAAATTAAATTTATGGTAAAAAAGCCTAAAATGTAAATTATTAAATAAAAAATATTTTATTGTTTCAAATAAAATAGATATAAATAATTATCGAACAAAAATAATTTTTTTTACCTGAGACAAAGTTTCAAATTTGAGAGATTAACGAACTTTTATAAAGCATTACTTATTCCTTTTATAAACTTTGCACCAATTCTATTGTCACTTTTAGAATATTCAACAATAAATAATTATGGTAAAATCTCTAATTCAAAATGATTTTAAAATAAAGATAATTTATTTTAATTTAAGGATAAATTTAAAAAATAAAATCAAAATAGTGATTCTAAAAGTACCCCTCATCAAGAAAAAGCAAATGAAATTTAAAAAGTAAATAAAAATAATCAATAAATAAATAATTTGATTATACAAATTTTATTACCCAAGACCAAGTGTTAAATTTGAGAGATTAGTGCGATTTATCTAAGTAGAATTACTTTTTCTGTATTAAGATATAATTGTAATGAAAAATATAAATAATAAGATATTAATGAATTATCACATAAAATGTTGAAAATTAAAAAATAACCAAATTTAAAGAAAATTATTAGAATTAAAAAGCAAATAAATATATTTTAAGCTTTTAAATAAATAAACTAAAATAATTTTATTGTTTTAAATTTATTTTTAAAAGAAGAAATACTGCAATCCAAGGAGAGTAAAGCATTTTCCTAAAGCAGAAAATAAATCTCGAAAAACAATCTCATCACTTATTATATTTTGGCTTTTAATATTCGAGAAAAAATTATTAGTTTGATAAAAAAAATGAAGAAATATAAAATAATTGGAATTTATTTATAATCAATAAAAAAATTAAAAAATGATTAAAATTAAGAGATTAAAAGCATAAATACTATTAAAAATCTAATAAATCAATTAAGAATTAATTTTTTATGTACATTTTTATATGAAAAATATAATAATATTAAATTTATAAACTGCTTTTTACTTAAGATAAAGTGTCAAATTGGAGAGATTTGTGCAATTTACTAAAGCATAAACAATGTCTGATGCTTATTTTCCCCTAATTTCATTATGACTTTTTAAATATTATGAAAATTTAATTAATAAATTCATTATTTTTTTGAAAAATATGATGAAAATATATGAAATAAAATAATAAGAAATTAATTAATTAACATTGCAAAAAGATGAAATTAAAAAAATAAGGTAAATTAAACAAATTTATCAGAATTAATAATCATTAAGATCAAATAAACAACTTAAAATATATTAATTAAAGAAATTTTATTGTTTTAAATTCATATTTATATTTAGAAATATCACAATCAAGAACAAATAAGCTGATTTTACTCGAATTTAAGATTCAAATTTTAGAGATTAGTGCATTTTACTAAAGCTTAGGCTATCTCTGATGCACCCTTTTCATTAATTTAATTATTCCTTTTTAAATATTGATGAAAATATTATAAATTATTAACTTAGAAGGGTAAAATGAAGAAAAAATATGAAAAAATAAGAAATTGAAAAATTCAATAAGCAAAATTGAAAGATTAAAAATAAGTTAAATTAAAATAAGATAATAAGAATTAAAAAGTAAATACACAAATTAAAAGCTTATAGATAGATATATAATTAAAAAGAATAAATTGCTAATTTTAATAGTTAAAAATATTGCATTTCTAAACATATTAATTCATTTTACATAAGGTTAAGTGTCAAATTTGCGAGGTTAGTGCAATTCTTTAAAGCAGAAGCTAATGCCAATGTACCTGTATCTCCAATTTAATTAATTCTTTTTAAATATTAAACAAAAAATAAAAAATAAATAAATTAATTAATTAGTTAGTTAGTTAGTTAGTTAGTAAAAAATGAATAAATAATAAGAAATTATTGGAGATAAAGATTAGAGGCTGCATAATGCGCACAAATATTTTTTTTGAACCATAATTTATTTAGGTTTGCATGTAGTTATTAAACTACACAATTAATCTATGACCAAACATTCTTTACTTATTTTTTTGCTTATTCAAGTAATAGGGGAAAAGTTTAATTCTGGAACTGAACACAATTTTTAATAAGAGAGCAAAGAAATAAAAATTATTCAGATAAAAAAAACTAGCAATTAAATAATTAATATCAATCTTTATAAATCTAAAATTTTTCATTTTGATGTAATATTTGTACTCCTTTTACAAATATTTGTATGGAATTTGAATTAATAACTTAAATTCGTCACTAAAAAAATTTTGTTTAACTATAATGAAAAACAAACATCATCCTCCTTAATTTTTATATTTTACGGTGTTTATAGCAAAGGTAGAAAATAAAAAAATGAGTTTGATTAAGACTAAAAAATAAATAAATCAAAAATAAAGTTTATAATTTTATAATTTATTTATTTTTATTTTAGAAAAGAGAAAATATACTATTTTTACCCGAATTCAAGATCCAAATTTTTGAGATTTGTACACTTTGCTAAGCCAAAAGCAAAATCTGCTGCACTATTTGCATCAATACGATTCCAACTTTTTAAATATGAAAATATTATTAAATAATTAGCTAGAGAATGTAATTATAAAATACAAAGAAAAATTTTTTTAAAAAAAGCATAAAACACAACTAGGATCAATAAGCAAATAGAATAAATTAATTTATATTTTTTATGGAAGTTTTAAATTTGATTTTTAAATAAATTGCCATATTCCCATACCAAAATAATAGGTGATTATATAAAAAAAAATAAAGCTGTTTTTACTTAAATTTAAGTGTCAATTGTGAGAGATTAGTGCAGCCTGCTAAAGCTGAATCTAAACATGCACCGTCATAATTGTTACTTTATAAATATTGAAGAAAATTTAATTATTTAGTTTGAAGAAAAAAAACGAAGAAAATATAAAATAGTGAAAATCGAAAATTAAAAAATTATTTAAATATAAAAAAAAACTCAATCCTAGTAAAAAAGCAAATAAATCAAATAAAAATTAATGAATAAACTAATTTAAAGAGGTTTATAGTATTAAAATCATTTTGAAATTAAAATATTGAAATCAAAAACAAATAAACTGTTTTTACCAAAGGTTAAGTGTCAAGCTTGATAGTTTAGTGCATTTTGCCAAACCAAAACCTAATTTTGTTGCACCGATTGCACCGATATGATTACTGCTTTTTAAGTATTGAAGAAAATAAATTTTATTTGATAAAAAAGATATTAAAAATAAAAATCTAAGCAGTAATTTAAGCAAAAATAGAATAACACAAAAAGGGCTAAAAAAAATTAATAAAAAAATAGAATCAGAATTAAAAACAAACAAATTAAATAAAGAGCTCATAAATAAATAAATAAATTATGACAAAGCAAATAATTATTTTTACCCAAGATTAATTGTCAAATTTGAGAGATTAGCACAATTTGCTAAATTAAAACCTAATCCTGATGCACCTTCGTCATCAATAGTATTTAACGTAAGATCAAGTGTCAAATTTGAGAGATTAGTGCACTTTGCCAAAGCAGAACTTAATTCTTACAATTCTTAATTTGAATTTATTATATCACTTTATTATTATTTTGAAGAAAATTTTATTAATTATTAAGTTTGAAGAAGAAAAAAATATGAAACAATAAGAAATTAATGAAATAATTAAAAATTAAACAAAGCAAAAGTAGAAAATTAAATATTATTTCAAAAATAAAAAACATTTTTGCATGAATGCAAATGTGATTAATTATTTGAAAAAAAATATTTTAAGTAAATTTATAAATAGAAATGAAATAAATAAGATTAATTAATTTTAATAAATTTAAATTTACTAAAGATTAATGCGGAGAGTTTAATGAGATTAAAGCGAAGAGATTAAGAACTTTTATTATTCATAAAAATAATTGTAAAGAATATTAATTTTTCAAAAAAATAATTACAGGTTGAAGACTAGAATAGTAATTATACTATTATATCATATTTTTTCTCAATAATATCGAATATCAAATTTACTAAATTTATTTAATTAATTAATTAAAAATTCTTTATTTATTTTTAACAAGACTTTGTAAGGCTTTAAATAATAGGATTTGATACAATAAATAGGACAAATATAGTTTTTTTTGTATTCTTAAAAGAAGCTCTTCTATTTGTTTTGAAAGTTATTAATAATTCTATAAAAAATGAGTGGATTTACTAGAATTTATAAATCTTAAAGTTTCATATAGGTTATGAATCAATCATTTTTTTCTATTTATACTTAAATATCAATATAAAAATTAAATTTTTTTGAAGTTTCTAAAAATTATTTATTTAAAATAAAATTTTTGCGAAATCAATAGTTTAATATTATATTTAAAATTAAAATAATAAGAATTTTATGCAATTATTTCATTAATTGATAAGATAGATAAGATGGAAAAATTTTTAGCTAAAAAAAAAATTAGATTAAATTTTGAAAATTTTGTTAATTTGAAAATAAATTTTAAAAAAAGCTAAATTAAAAATTTTAATTGAAAAATGATAAAGATTGATTAAAATAAATTATAAATATTATTAATTAATTAAATTCTATTATAAAATTATTTATTTATTTTTATATAAATTATATACATCAGCAATTAAAAAATCAAATCACTAAATTAATTTTTGAATGGCATTTTGCTATATAATATTTTAAGTAATTAATATATTTCATTTTATTGTAAGTAAAAATCATAAAATTACAATTTTACTAAAAAATTACTGAAATCCTTTAAGATTTTAAGAAAGAAGATCATAAATATAAAAAATTTGGTTCTTATGAAAAAAACATTAATGTTTAATCTAGAAAGCAATTGTTAAAAATATTCTCATTAAATATAATCATATTTATGATCTCAAATATTTAGTGTTTCTATCTATTTATTTTTCATTTTTTATGTTATTGAAGAATTTTTTTATGGAGTTTTACAAAAATTTAGAGTTTATATTTATTTATATCTCTTATAAATTTAATTTAAATATGTTAATAAACTTATATTTAGAGTTTTATTAAAATGATATTATTATTATAAATATAAATTCAAATTAATTAAATTAAATCTCATAAATTGTAAAATTTAATTATTTTAAGATAACAAAAGATTAACTAACAAAGTAAATTAATAAAGTTATTTTTTTGCAAATATTTAATATTGTAAAATAAATCAAAAGATTTTATTGTGTAAAGGATATACATAAAAAAATTTAATTATTTATTTTAATGATAATTAAATCATAATATACATTAAATCAATTGCTTTTTTATTAAATGTAATTAAATAATAAAATACAAACTCATTATACATACAACTTTTATTTTCAATCATTTTTGTTATAAATTGTACTGTTAATAAATAAATAAATATTTATTATTAATTTTAGTAAATTCAATCTACATTTAATTTAACTAATCTTTTTATTTTTTAAGCTAATCTTTTAATAGCTTATCTATCATCTTGAAAATAACTTTTATTAAATATTAATTTATTTTTTAATAAATAAAATTTTTTACTTTTAATTATCTAATTTTAATCAATAAATATTAATTACATATCAAGCTTCAATAACTTTATATTTTTACAGTTAATGATTTCTCTGGATTTTAGAAATTTCTCATAATTTCTTATTAAATAAAGATATTTTACTTAACGTCTTAAAAAATTTAATATAACTGTTTTTCAAAAATAATAAATGAGATTTACTCTGAGTTAAAAACTAAATTCGTAAGTTAAGTGCAGTTACTCAAGCCTAATCCCATATATTATGCTCCTTTATCACCAATATTATTTCCCCTTTTCAAACAATATAAATCAATTTATTACTATTTAAATTTGAATTGATATTTAATTCAAAATAAATAAACATTTTTAAGTTATCAATAAATAAATAAAAATTTGATTTTACCTAATATTAAAAGTAAGATTAGTAAGGAATTTGCAGTTGCCAAGTGCTGTACCTATAGTAATAGCTCCATTATCTCCAATTTTGTTGTAGCTTTTATAAATGAAAATAAAATTTGATTAAAAATTAAATTTTTAATAGATTTATTATTTGAATAAAAAGCTTTTTCATAATTTTTTTTTTAATATAAAATTTATTTTACAAAGTAAAGATACTTTATAAAATTTAAGCTTGCTATATTAAGTTTGAATAAAAAGCTTTTTTTTACGAAATATTAAAATCGAGATTAGTAAGCAATTTGCAGTTACCAAGTGCTGTACCTATTGTACAAGCTCCATCATCCCCAATTTAATTTGAGCTTTTATAAATAAAAATCAAGTTTAATTAATAAATTAAGGACATTTTATATAATTTAATCTTATTTAATCCAGTTTGAATAAAAAGATTTTTCATAATTTTTTCAATATTTATAAATGAAATAAATTTACAATAACACTAATTCTAATTTTGTAAGTTGAGTGCAATTACTCAAACCTAATCCAATATTTTATGCTCCTTTATCACCAATTTTATTATGACTTTAAAACAAATAAATAAATAAATTTATTAAATATTTAAATATACTTTGACTTTTAATTCAAAATATATAAAATAATTCAAGCTTTTTTAAGTAATCAATAAAAAAAATAAAAATTGATTTTACCAAATATCAAAAGTAAGACTAGTAAGGAATTTGCATTTACCAAGTGCTATACCTATTGTAGAAGCTCCATCATCCCCAATTTAATTCCAGCTTTTATAAATAAAAATCAAGTTTAATTAAAAAACTTTATACATATTATAAAATTTAAGCTTATTTAATCTAGTTAGTTTAAAAATTCTTCATAATTTTTTTCAAAAGTCATAAATGAAATAAATTTACAATTTTTAATCCAACATTAAAACAAAACAAATCAAAATATATAAAATAATTCAAACTTTTTTTAAGTTATCAATAAATAAATAAAAAATTTATTTTACAAAATTTTAAAATTAAGATTAGTAAGCAATTTGCAGTTACCAAGTGCTGTACCTATTGTACAAGCTCCATCATCCCCAATTTAATTTGAGCTTTTATAAATAAAAATCAAGTTTAATTAATAAATTAAAGACATTTTATAAAATTTAAGCTTCTTTAATTCAGTTTAAATAAAAAGCTTTTTCATAATTTTTTTCATAAGTAATAAATTAAATAAATTTACCTTATACTAAATTCTAAATTTGTAAGTTGAGTGCATTTACTCAAACCAAATCCAATATTTTATGCTCCTTTCTCACCAATTTCATTAAATCTTTTCAAACAAAATAAATAGATCAATTTATTAACTATTTAAATTTGTTTTGATATTAAATAAATATAAAATTTATTTTACGAAATATTAAAATCGAGGTAAGTAAGAAATTTGCAGTTGCCAAGTGCTGTACCTATTGTAAAAGCTCCATCATCCCCAATTTAATTTTCTCTTTTATAAATAAAAATCAAGTTTAATTAAAAATTAAAGACATTTTATAAAATTTAAGCTTATTTAATTCAGTTTGAATAAAAAGCTTTTTCATAATTATTTTCAAAAATAATAAATGAAATAAATTTACCTTATATCAAATACTAAATTTGTAAGTTGAGTGCATTTACTCAAACCTAATCCAATATTTTATGCTCCTTCATCACCGATTTTATTTTTCCTTTTGAAACAAAATAAATAAATCAATTTATTTACTCTTTAAATTTGTTTTGACATTAAATAATAAAATTTATTTTACATAATAGCAAAAGTAAGATTAGTAAGTAATTAGCAGTTACCAAGTGCTGTACCGATAGTAGAAGCTCCATCATCCCCAATTTAATTTTCGCTTTTATAAATAAAAATCATGTTTAATAAAATATTAAGGACATTTTATATAATTTAATCTTATTTAATTCAGTTTGAATAAAAAGCTTTTTCATAATTTTTTTCAAAAATAATAAATTAAATAATTTTACCTTATCCTAAATGCTAAATATGTAAGTTGAGTGCATTTACTCAAACCAAATCCAATATTTTATGCTCCTTTGTCACCAATTTTATTTTATCTTTTCAAACAAAATAAATAAATCAATTTATTAACTATTTAAATTTGTTTTGATATTAAATAAATATAAAATTTATTTTACGAAATACCAAAAGCAAGATTAGTAAGTAATTAGCAGTTACTAAGTGCTGTACCAATAGTAGAAGCTCCATCATCCCCAACTTAATTTTTGCTTTTATAAATAAAAATCAAGTTTAATTAAAAATTAAAGACATTTTATAAAATTTAAGCTTATTTAATTCAGTTTGAATAAAAAGCTTTTTCATAATTTTTTTCAAAAATAATAAATTAAATAAATTTACCTCATTAAAAAATTTAAATTTGTAAGTTGAGTGCATTTACTCAAACCTAATCCAATCTTTTATGCTCCTTAGTCACCAATTTTATTTTATCTTTTCAAACAAAATAAATAAATAAATCAATTTATTAACTATTTAAATTTGTTTTGACATTAAATAAATATAAAATTTATTTTACGAAATATCAAAAGCAAGATTAGTAAGTAATTAGCAGTTACCAAGTGCTGTACCGATAGTAGAAGCTCCATCATCCCCAACTTAATTTTTGCTTTTATAAATAAAAATCAAGTTTAATTAAAAATTTAAGACATTTTATAAAATTTAAGCTTATTTAATTCAGTTTGAATAAAAAGCTTTTTCATAATTTTTTTCAAAAATAATAAATGAAATAAATTTACCTTATACCAAATACTAAATTTGTAAGTTGAGTGCATTTACTCAAACCTAATCCAATCTTTTATGCTCCTTAGTCACCAATTTTATTTTATCTTTTCAAACAAAATAAATAAATAAATCAATTTATTAACTATTTAAATTTGTTTTGACATTAAATAAATTTAAAATTTATTTTACGAAATACCAAAAGCAAGATTAGTAAGTAATTAGCAGTTACTAAGTGCTGTACCAATAGTAGAAGCTCCATCATCCCCAACTTAATTTTTGCTTTTATAAATAAAAATCAAGTTTAATTAAAAATTTAAGACATTTTATAAAATTTAAGCTATATAATTCAATTTGAATAAAAAGCTTTTACTGAATTTTTTTCAAAAGTTATTAATTAAACAAATTTACCATATCGCAAATAATAAATATGTAA